CAGGGCGATCTTCAGGATTTAAATTCCTTTCAGAAAGGAATCTAACAATTTCTGGCCATTTTGGATTGCAAGTGAAAGTCAAGAAAAGATCTGGATATCCAGCCCATCGACATATAGCCATTGCATCTTGATAGTTTTGAACCATGTATCTTGCTCCTCCAACAAATGTCGATGGTAACACTATTCTCTTTCCTTGGGTAGAAGCATCTCGTTCACCACTCAATAATGCCTCGGACAGGCCTTTATACATGGCACATCTTAATTGCTTCTGATTCAATCTTATATAAGTTAGTCTAGATGATTCAACCATTGTGTATCCATCTACCACAAATTGTTGAAACAATCTCCGGGTTTTGAGGATAAACGAATTCTCAACCCCACGATCATGTAATCGATATGCAAGGAATTCCCGCACGCTAACACTTCGGCGACCTTTAGTACTTTTACTATTAGAATCTGAAAAACTTATATCCTCTCTATACCCATCTTCACCATAAGGAAACAGAAGTGGATACTGTAGCCCCAAATAAGCAGGATTCAACTCATTGATTCGTTTCAAAACACCCCCTTGAGTTTCGACCATTATGTCCCTCTGCCCCAAAGATTCATCGAAGTCACCAACTATCAAAGCCGCCACTTCAGACACCGTGGGCAAATTGTATGTTCTAGCATCTCTACTTCTCCGCCCAATTAACTTCAAGTAAACATTGGAATGTCCACATTCCGCAATCTTGTCTCTAGCCATCCTAAAAGACTTAACTAAAACGTTATGTTGATCCAACATTTGCCTTAGGGTAGAAACAATATCAACATGCAATTTCTTCTTTCGTTTCTCATCCCTAACATTTCAAAACAAAAGTACAATATTGTTTAGCATAATCCCATAATCTCATAATAAAAAAAACAAATTGATGTTGTATTAGGTTATTACCCCACCGAGGTGAGGCGATTAACGTCCTCATGTTGAGTGTCATAGATATACAATTGCGCAAATTTGGGGACATTTCCTTCCACAGGCAACAAACTCCCAATCAAATGATAGTTTTGACCACTAAGTTTAAAAACTGGAGGTGAGCCACCAATGTTGATTGTTTGATCAACCCTTCCACCCATTGATGTGAAAGAAAACATGCTATTATATGATCGAATATTTTCCTGAAAGTGTTTGGATTTTTGATCTGTGCCATTTATCAAATCACACAATTCTTTTGGAGGCTCTTTCTGAGGTGCTAGTTTTATCTTCCCTTGCCCACAGCATAGAGAATACTTAGTGCTTCCTATAGTAGAACTTCGCAGCAATCTTTCATCATACCAAAACAGTGCCCCACAGTGTTCACAATCATAACTGAGATCACCAATGTCCCAATATTCGCTGCTGATTATACCTACAAAACGGAAAAATTAATAAGCAACAACTCATTACCATGTGTGAGGAATTGAATTGTGCAATTTTCGGACCTTCATCAACGTTGGTTTGTGATGGAACATCATGAATGGCAGGCAATGTGCGTTGTGGTACAATACCAACAGGACGTTCTATGTCATTCACATTTTGTGTGGTCAATACTAAAGAAGAGTTGAACGGTGACTGCAACACTACAATTGTCATTTCTCAATATCAAAACCACGAAATACGCCATGCATAAAAGATTTTAAATTAAGTTATAAAAGATTTTATGAAAACATTTTCACAAAAGAAATGAAGTCTTTCATTACACTTAATCATCCTCATCAAAATACTATTCGGTTATGTGTTTTTTATATTATACTAAACCAACACAAACATATTTTTTAAATTATATGTAAATTCATGTACATATAAATATTGAATGGTACTCGCATGCATATGTCATAAATATATAAAAATATACAACTTAATATCGTTATTATCATTAAATAAAAAGAGATAGTAGATACCATTTGTTCTATCTGCAAAAAAGTTAGAGATTCTTTCCTTTACACTTGATCTTGTGAATTTAGAAGAACTGGAATTGATTCCCAGAGGTGGAGAAGGATGCAGACTATTGACCCTACTATCAACGTTTTCTGCAGAAAAAAAAAAATAAACAGAAATTGAGTTATTTTTTTTGGCAAGTTCTATTTTATATTATCTAAATATTCACATATAAATCCAAATTTGATAAACTTCTTATTTACAATTTGCATCAATTAAAAATTATTATTAACAATTATTATGAATATTAATATTATTAATTAACAAATAAAAATTAAGAGTGTTTAAAATCTCAAAACATTGGTATATATAAATATTCAATATATAGTCAATGTAGTCATTGACATTAAAAATTATTATTCAATATCATAACTATATATATTGTAATATACTATATATATTATTACTCCCTCCGTTCCTTTTTATCAGTCCTTTTTTCCTTTTTAGGACGTTTTTTTTTATTTCTCCTCCTTTCCCTTTAAGGAAAGTTTTTTAGAAAATACCCTCACTTTTATTACTTTTATCCTGCTTACTTTTTACAAACTACTTTTTATTTTCTACTTTACCATCACTTTACTCTACACTTTTTAATAATAATCTTTCCTACTTTATCATTTACCATGCACACTCTACACTTACTCTACTACTTTATTATTAAAACCCGTACAAATCTGTAAGAGGACTAATAAAAAAGAACGGAGAGAGTATATTACAAAGTAATATTAGACATTGTAATTGTTTAAACATTAAATATTACATTTAAATTAAATTACAACGCCGTTAATTGAAAATTACAAAATATTTTATTTTCATACCATTTGTTCTATCTGCTAAAACGTTTGAGAATCCCCCGTTTGTAATTGTTGTGAATTTAGAAGAACTGGAACCAATTCCCACAAATCGTGAAGGATGTTGAGTACCGACCTTACCATTGTCGTTTTCTGCAGAAAAAAAGGTAAAAAACATAAATTCATATTTTGGGTAATTAAAAATTCCTAATTTATATTATATACAATTAACATCAATTAACAACTACAGAGTTTCAATTAACAATTTCTCATTATTATTAAAAATTTATCTACCAGTTTTAATCTATATTAAAATATTAAAATTATTAAAATCACAATTTGAATACTCTAATAATCTGGAACAATAATTTATAGCTTGAATTGTACTTTAATTGAACCCAATTAAGAGGCCGTTTGGCAACATCTTTTTTCGGCTTATCAGGCTTATCAGCCAACTTTTTCACCAAACACGTAACTTTTTCTTTCGCGCGCTGAATTGTGTAATAAGCAGAAAAAGTAAGGTTATAGTTACTTTTCTGGCTGTATTGGCTGAAGTTACCGTAGATGACCATTTTAGCTATTTTTACATATAATTTTTTCTTTATTTTATTAATAAAATATATTTTAAAAATATTTTTTTACTTAAATCAGCAGAAACAGCCAAAACAACCACTTCAGCCAGAACTTCATTAATTTCAGCCAAAATAGCGGATTTTTGTGCTACGAAATGGGGTCTAAGCCTTTTTGGACCCATCAACCCAATTGCTATAAATATTCATTCCTAACCCTACCCAACCCAACAACCCTATCAGCCCACATTAATTCCTAACCCTACCCTACCCAAACACGAACTGTATAAGGATATGAAGACTCACCCGTTACATAGACCCAAACTTACACTCACTCTCAGACCTATGCTCTCTATAACCCTAGCAGCAACCCTGAATCTTCGTACAAAACCTACCCCTCCCTATACCCCTTCGTCTAGCTCCGATTGTCTTCCGCTTTTCCGGTGCCATGTCTAGGATGGTGCAGTGTTAAGGCAGGATCCTAATCGGCGGTTATCAATTGGCTTCATCGAGTAATCCGCGACTGCATCTCAGTCGTTTGGTATATCTCCTTTTCATAAGTTTTCCTCAAACATTTAGTTTGTTTTCATCAGTTCATGTGTATATTTTATATCGATTTCCACAGATCTCATGTTATTCAGCGCTATTGTTATCTGTTTAACAAATCCATCTAACTTATCAAAGCTTACGCTTTACATTTCAAAGGATATCCTATTTTTTGCCAATCGGTTTTCAAAAATTTGAATAACATATATAGATCTGGTGATAGCTGTATTGTTTGAGGATACAAAAATCCCATCGATTACACCATTTCATGGCCAGATCTTTCCAAATATGAGATCTGTGTATGGTGACCGATGAACATTCTTTTTGGTGTGGGTGAAGTAATTTTTTTGTTTCAGCTTTATAGATGAGAAAGGTCATTACAGATAATAATCTCAGAAATCTGTGTGTTCCTTGCCTTTCGATGATTCTGTACACATATATATTTATATCCATTGATGGCATGAATACATTTTCTAATACCGTACACTATGTATATATATGTATATATATATATATATGTATATATATATGAATATTTATACGCACTGATGCTATAACCACTTTATAAGATACTATTTATACGTGTACACACCTGTGTATCATGTATATTTATATACATTCATGGTATAAATACTATTACTCAACCTTATTTATACGTGTATATTTTGATGGCATGATTGTATAAATACTACATATTGTCTATTCCATACAGATATGAATAGTATATGTCAAGCATACCCAGTATCCTTTATACTCTAATCAATATTTTTATTACGTATTCAAACATTATTTATAGTATATATACATAGTATAACTACTACACTTTTTTCCATATGGATATGAATACTATATATAAACTATACCCAAAATCTATTATACTCTGTACTCCAAAATTTTATTACATATTGAAACTGTATTTACAGTATATACATAGTATAATTATTACACTATTTTCCAATTGGTAAAACTCTAACCATTATCTTTTTTGCTGTGTATTCAAATATTACAGTTAGTATTTATTCATACTGCTAAAATAATTATATATATATATATATATATATATGATACATGTTAAAATTGTTAATCAAACTCATGATGGTAAAAATGGTACATACTATCTATTACATATGGTTATGAATACTATATGTAAACTTTACCCATGAAGTTTTATACTCTGTCCTATAAAATTATATTACATATTGAAATTGTATTTTCAGTATATGCATAGTACACATTGAATAGTACATATATAGTTTATACACTTTTAATCAGTACCATGATGGTATAAATCCTACTTATTATCCATATTCCTTGTGGATATGAATACTATATATCATCTGTACCCAGTATCTCTTATACTTTCTGCTGAAAAATTTCACTACATATTTAAACTGTATTTTTACTCTGTATTATTCCATATGGATATAAATACTATATATGAACAATACCCAGTATCTTTTATACCATAGTCTAATTTTTTTGTAAAAATGTTCAAACTGTATATATAGTATGTACATAGTATATTCAGTACACTTTTTTCCACATACATATGAATACTATATATAAACTCTACCCAGGATCTTTTATACCCTGTACTCATAAATTTTATTACATTTTAAAACTGTATTAATAGTATATACATGGCATAATTAGTAAACTATTTTCCAATTGGTAAAACTCTAACCATTCTTTTTTATACCGTATTTAAAAATTTCAGTAAATATTTATACTGGTTTTTGATACCTTGATCAACTATCTCATTGATCCCTCTTTTGCGGTTGATTATGGTTGATTTTGTGATCTTCTTCATTTTAAGCTTGACCACTACATAACCTGTGAAAGTAACATTAACAGAAATGTACATATAATATGTTATGTGTAGGTGTCATCTATGGCAATCTGGTTTCATGAACCATATATCATATATGCCCTGACATGTATAAGCCACCATGTTGGTTATGGTGTTTAGTGCTTATTAAGGCCCATCCCATAAGACTGTCAGATACCCTGCCAGCCACAATAGTGGCCTTCGGAACTGCGTGGTCTGGCAGTCCGTTGGCCTGAAAATGACTAACCACTTGCCACCCAAAATCCCGAATCTGTGTCATATGCATTTCATGTTATGAGTATGTATTGTTGTGTAAGTGAAGCATATGTGAAATAGATTTGAAACATGAAATGACAATACATTTTTTTCATACACATTTTGACATTCATAATATCATTGTCAACCACTGTGTCTTCACAAAAACATATGTATTCATGTGTGTACATTGCATTACATTTCAACACTTAAATAGGAAACTAAACATGGGTCAATATTTCATGAAATAGCAATGGCCACACAATTTGCAAAATACAAAACAGTTTACTTAGTTTCCACAAAACACATAAGATACTAAACATAGCATATTTCTTTCACTTGAATGCAGTAGTATATTCATGTCATGTTAAGCCAACCAAACTTCATTCCCACACAAGTGTTTTCATTGAAGTACTTCTGGTTGAGTGTTATAATCCGACCTGATCTTCTAGGTATCATAGGTCCTGCATCTAAGCATTCTTGACAGTATGTGCATAAGAAATTCCCAGTATTCGTTTTCTTGTTTACAGGCCTCATGCAGTAAAAGTGAGAAATATTTCCATTACACCAAAAGCATGTTTCCAACCGATACAGTCCAGCCCCTTTTCCACATGCATGACACTGTGTGTCACATTGTATAGGAGAACACTTTGAACATGCACAGCTTCTCATCTTTAACAACACAACTTAGACATGTCATTAATCAGTTTTTAAAATAAGTTGAGTCCTGTTTGTAATAAAATGTAATTTTATAATTTGTGGCCCAACCTGTTTTATCACACAATTGCATAAAAATCATTATTGAAACTTTAATGCATACCTTTCGCTTGGAAGGGAAGTGCTTCAGTCCAGCTTTTATACTTCAGCCTTGCACACACAACTTCTACTTCGTTTTTATGGTTGAGGTCATAAATGATTTTTCAGAGCAAAGAGTAAATGCATCTTCGAAGCATTTATGCAGTGAGTTTTGAACTTGGTACATAAATATGACTTGATCTCAGACTTCATTAAATTCCAGCCGACCTAGCAGCCATCCTAGCATTGAGAAATGCTGCTCTACTGACTTGCAATTAATGCCTGGCAGTTCACTGTTTGAATTATAAAAAGATTTTGAACTTCTTATATGGTATCCGATTGTGCAGGTTATTGACCAAAGGTACGGATTTTCTTCTCACAACTATTTGTACTATTTTCATTGAGCACTCTATAACCACCCTACTGGTGCCGTGGATATGTGATGATGGTAAACCATTAATGTTTTGAGAGGTGCAGCAGCCGAAATATGATATATTTTAAAAAAGTACAGATATAGTACAACAATGCATTAGATATTCTTCTGAGAGCAAAGATATTTTAGTACATTGCATTAAATGTTGTTTCATTATTATAACTTGTTGCCTATTGCTCAGCTCTAAATCTTCTCTTAAGTAATTTTGTTCAAATGATTTATCCTGAGCTGTGGCTTTACATATTTTTTGCTAGGTCCTTAAATTCCTTTTGTTGGGCCTGGTAATTTAAAAAAAAAATGCTTGGTCCAGCATGTTTAGGAAGAAATAGAATGGCTTGAAAATCTTGAAATGTAACGTGGCATTGAAAAATATTTATTATTTTTCCTCAACACAATTTTCCATTACTGTTTGAGTCAAAATTAAGTGCCTTTTGCTATTTTTGTTCATACATTATAACCTAACAGAATATATCTTTTACGTGTAAAAGTATTACCCCCAAAAATTATTGAAACTTTTACAGGTGCACTGCCATATGCATATTTGTAAAATGAAAAGTACCTTATTTCTAGATGCCCATTCTTAACACTAAAATGCCACATGTTGCACTTCAAGAGTAATTAGCAAACATTATCAGGAACATAGCTGTACCAACATATGGTTTCAATATATAGGACAATATTTATTGTTTTAAATGACCACAGTTGGCATGTTTTAAATCACACGGAATCACTGTATTTTTGCATTTTGTAAATAGTATTTTGAGTAATGTTAGATGGAGATATGCATTTTAATACTTTCACCAAGTATCTATCAAGTAATGACATAGAGTTTTGATTATGTTACATGTATATTGTTATTTTTTTTTAATCAGTAAAATGCACTTTAATGCCAATAATACACAGTTTAAATATAATTCTTAGGACAGGCTATTTTTTCTGGAATAATTGATCCTTAAGATGTAATGTAAATTTTATTATACATAAGTTTTTTATCAAATGCTATTATATTTATACATTACTTATTAGAATAACATATTTATATTTGTATATCTTTCTAAAGCAGGTCGGTACATATGTGTGTGTGTGTGTATGTTATTACATATTATATCTGTATATTATATTTACCATCAAGATGTTGGTATTTTCAAATATTTAAATATGATAGTGCTTGAGTAAAGCATTTATTATATGTATGTGTATTTATATTTGTATTCATGAAATTAACCATAATTGAGTTTATAGTTGTAACCTCAGTTAAAGATAAAAAAATGTATTTTATTACTTAAGTTTCTCATAAAACTCTATTATATGTATACATATAGGTACTTATGAGTATATATATAAGTATGTTATTATTATGTTCAAAAATTAATATAAAACAGATGTTATTATTACATCTGTCGAAAATATATCCATTTCGGTATATACGTTATATATATAAGTATGTTATTATGTTAAAAAATTAATATAAAAAGTTCTTTTTTAATATGGTTATAAGTATACTTATACATATATTCATGAAATTAACCATTATTCATGATTTGCCACTATTTTCATTACCTCAAATTTTTTAACAAAGTCTCATAATAAGTATTAATTTTTAAAATTTAAATAACAGAGGTCTATCTTTAGAGTTTGTAAAGCATATATTATATCTATGTGTAATTACATTTGTATTCATGAAATTAACCATTATTGACTATATATTCATATCTTTAGTTATAATATAAAAATCTATTTTATTACACTTAAGTTTTAGATATGCATACATATAGGTAATTGTTATATAACTATTTATATTATATATTATATATTTGTATATATTGATCTCAATATATAATTATATTTATTATATTTATGAATCCAACACTCATATATACAATTACATTTATAAAATTGCTTAAGTCATTGACACATGGATTTTTCGAAGTATGTAATTCCAACTTAACAATGTTATTGATCTTAAATTTTGCAGGGCTTTGGTGTCCATTTGAAGTTTAGCATGCTCTGTATAAGTCATGTAGATCTCTGTATAGGCCATAGATTCTGGAACCTTTAGAAGGTTGCCAATCATGTAATTGTTTTTTGGTCTGTAATAGTTAATTAGTTGAAATTAGGAAGTGCAGGTCATCTTGCCCAGCCAAGTTTTTATACAGGTATCAAAAACCTATCCCTCTTATTCATTATCTTTTTCATTTTTGAGTTATGCACTTATCTTAGAAATTGTTTGCATTGTGACACTAAAGTAACAATAGGAATGAGCCCTCAAACTTCACACATTGATCACTGCATAGAGCCTTTTGTTTCTAAAGTTGTGGGGCAATAGATAAATGATAGGAAACTCAATTTCATATAGAAATGAACATTCTGTTTCAAAATTACATTTTGGGAAAATTACATTTTGGGATTACATGCTTTGTCAAATTTCAAGTAATTATAATCCCCCAACTTTCTAACATGATACTTGCATATTACATATGATTTCCCGACATATTTTTCCAAAGATAGCAACACTTCAGTTTCTTCCATCGTCTTCATCTTTTGTACCAAGTCCAGTTTCTTCCACCTGCAAAATAATAGACATGCCACACATACAGCACACATGAATAATGTATCAGTAAATTAGGATCGTCACATCTTTTTGTACCGTTTTCTCTAGGAAATAGATCACCTGCACACAAAAAATATATCACACATATAGACCACATGCAAAACATAACAGTAAATTAGGATGGTCCACAGTCCACACATCCGAATAATTACAACCAAGGTTCCAATGGAGATGACTCCATAGATGTCATGTTTAGGCAAAAAGAAGTCAAAGTAATTGTTTTTCACTTTCGTGAATACTTTTAGCAAAACATAAAGTCTTCAATTCGTAGCCCCATAATAATAACTTTCAGCTCCTCTATTCTGGTTCCTTCTTAATTTTGGTCTTCAACTTTTTCCCGTTGGTAGAAAACTGCCCCATCAAGTTCCTTTTCAGAGTCTCTTCTTCTTCAATTCTCTTACTTTTACGTTTACTTTGTGTTGGGGTGACACCATCCTCTCCTTCCTGTTTCGAAAAGGTACAATTCAAAATTAGCATTGCCAAAAAGTCCAGGATTTTGATGTTCATGGACCATAACCAATATACCTTATCTAGGTCAACAATGTCAACTTTTTTGGGCATGCTTCCCTCCAAGTTGTCTGCTGTCGAGCCGCCGCTCTGAAATTGAAATATATTTAATTAACGTTTCGTAAATAAAAAGTAGAGTATAAGATTTCATTCTTTTCTAAATATGAACACAATCTGTGTAATTCTTGTACCTTCTCCATGTCAGAAATTTCTTCCAGCCCTTTCCCGTTCTCTTTTGGATGTTCATACACTTTCAAGACTTCCTCGTCCCTTATCATTGTGATCACACCATAGGAGATAGGACCTTTATAAGAACTACTCTCAGCCTTGTTTTTTATTTGGACTTTAAACAGTCCTCTTTTGTCTATGATTGCCTCTATGTCTTCAGGGAAATGTGTTGGATCCCCAGTTCTCTATATATAAGTTTGTAACAAATTATTTCTCATATTTGCATTTAACAAAACATAATTCACCCATCAATAGGAGATATCACAATTTATACACCTGCTCAACTTCAGCCCTTAGGGCGGATGCTGTTTTGCCCAGCATGTCTAAGCAATCCCTATCCCAAAGTGTGAATGATGAATGACCGGAATCATCCATCACGCACACAGTCACTTTGTACCTATGATAATAATAATAATATAAAATGTTATTAAGAATAACATCTTCTCACAGCCATGAAGGTAAAATGTTGTATACCTTAAAATTCCGTCTGGAAGTGTTAGGTTGCAGTAGAGGCACACAAATCTTTCATCATCTGCTTGCAGTTTTTTGTTGCAAGTCTTGCAACTCAAGTAACACCATTCTCTAAAGTTTTCAATTGAGACTACATCCCCCAAGATCCAGTACACTCCTTCCTGTATATTTAAATCCAAAAAAAAGCTGTTCATATTTGAATTTTATTTGTTACAGTTATATCCATTATTACCTCTGTTTTTTTAACCAAATCAGCAATCGCTGTTACAGTCAGATTTCCTCCAAGAATATATTCTCGACTCTCGACTTGTGAATTAGCAGCAATTGTAGTCAAAGTACCATTGTCCCTCTCCTCTGCTGGGAACCTGTAATTTATGTATTTTTTGACAATTCTTCTATTTTGAAATTTGTTTATTGTTTATAAATTTGGAATATGGTAAACACATACTGTCCCTTGAAGTCCACCAGCTCACTCGTGTTTCCATTAATTATTAGCTTGCTAGCATCGTATGAGGTACCAACTGAAATGGTGCCTGAAATACAAAGTGGTTCAGTAGCATAATACACATAGTGGTTGCTGTAAATTAAATAAAAAAAATATTACCTTTGTAGCGTCTTGCCCTGCACATCTGTACAATCACAAAAATCCCTTCCTCTTTGTGATCTTCGTAGTAGTTTAGAAAGTTGTCAATGTAGCTGTTCCATAGAGTGCAGCCCAGCCGGTTTCCTCTGTAAGAAAAAGGAAAATGGATAGTTATTTTTCCATCTGTGTTTGACATCTTTTAATGTCCAGTTTGTAAATCATTGTTCAACATGTCTTATACTTACTCTGTGTCCTCAAGAGCGAGCTCCATGAGCCTCTCCCCCCTACCATTGATGATAAGGTTCTGAGCTGTACACTTGTTAACCACCTTTCCAATAACATCTAGTACATTAAAACTTCAAGTAAATATGTTTTACTTTTGTTTAGTAATTTAATGATTTTTCAGAAAAGATTTACTTAAATATTACCAATTAGTTGTTTATCATCAACAACCCTCAAGGTTTGTAGAACCTCAAATGGCTGAAATTCAAACACACTGTTTGGCACAATGTCAGGATTAATATCCTTAACTATAGTCTTGCCATAAAATTCGATCAAGTAGGCATGGTTTGTGGCTTTGTAAGTGTAGTAGTTATCCATCACCAAGAAATCCCTAATTGCATAAACCCCGTTTTCTGCAATCTTAGACCTAAACAAACGTAGCTGAGGCCTCTTTATCAAACCGTGAATTTTGTCTCCCTGCATATTTAATTTGTGAGATAAATATACAAAATCATCTTCTAGATGCAATAGCTTGAACTTTTAAACTCAATCTGCTGATAGCGTATTCAAACTTACCTGGGAGTCAATGAAAACCAACTCTATCCTCTGTCCTCCCCTGGACTGAGGTGGCATTTCATAAGCTCTCACAACCTTCACTTTGATCGCCCAAGTTGTCTTGGTGTGATCCAAGTCCCTGAGAAATGAGAACTGTCCTTGGTTTGCTGCCATTGAATTTTGTTGCAAGAATGGATGATGCTGTGTGGGATGGAAAATAAGCTGACCCAAGAACCTTATTTATACTGGATGACTTGCAATGGTTCTCACCCTTTTTGTTCAATATTTTTAAATTAAAATTCGAACTCAAACCTCATTGTTGCCTAGCATTAATGCTATGTACTTTAAAGATTTTATTTTATACTTTGGTTGGCTCAAGAAGATATGAAAGTACATATCATTTAATGCAAATCCTTTTGAAATTGGAAATCAGGCCGATGCATTACAAATTACCCACTACTTTGCATTTAATATTCAAAAAGATTTGAAAAGACTCATTGTAACCATAATAAATGCTACCATGCGGCCTCCCTATGCAGCAGAAAGTAATTGTGCGGCTGAAATATTGTACTTTATTGGTAGACCCGTTTTTGACCTGGATCCGAATTGTTGACCCTTTTTTTGGGCGGGAATTCTTGCTGGTGTTCCACAACAGTTTGTATATAGAAAGATTACTCCGTAATAACTTATGGCCATTGTCATTGGACTGGAATTGTTCACTTGAACTTATTTCAAACTCTACTAAGATCAGAATATACCTTATTTAAAGTTTTAAAGTTTTAAACAATTAGTCAAAGAAGACAAAGAAGACTTAAATAGACTGGATAGGATAAGACTTAAATAATGTTAAGACCCGAGGTTCCATCCTAAAAGGTCAACCTGATAAGAAGAGTAGCCCAAAGCCTTATATGGTATTTAAGGGAAAAACTGTCAAATAGCCCCCCTACTAATACAAAAAGTCAATTAAGCCCCTGAACTCAAAAAACACTCAATTAAGCCCACAAACTATAAAAAACGAGGCAAAACAGTCTTTTTAGCAGGTAATTAAGCGGTTAAAAAGAGATAAGGGAAAAAGGAAAGAAAGAGAAAAAGAGAAAAAGAAAATGTAAAAGTATGCCACATCATTTGCCACACATGCAACTTAACTGGGAACGGTTAATATCCTTCTAAAAGGACTGTTTTGCCTCGTTATATTTAGTTCGTGGGCTTAATTGGATGTTTTTTGAGTTCGGGGGCTTAATTGACTTTTTCGTATTAGTAGAGGGGCCTATTTGACACTTTTCTCGGTATTTAATTGTTTTATAGCTTTCCGGTGTGGTACAAATGCTTTAACACGCCCCCTCAGCCCGAACCGGGTTGGACAATATCAGGGTGTATAAACGGGCCAAACAAACTCTTAACAAGCTACCCTTAATCATGGGTGCTAAACTAGCCGTCAAACCACAACGAAATTGGCTCTGATACCATGTTAAGACTCGGGGTTCCATCCTAAAAGGTCAACCTGATAGGAGGAGTAGCCCAAAGCCTTATATAGTGTTTAATTGTTTTATAGCTTTCCGGTGTGGGACAAATGCTTTAACAAATAACAACAAAACAGACATAATATCAAATCGTATCAAACGAGTTGAAATCATACCGGACTTGATCAGACTAGCCCAGACCAAACCCCAGTTCAGGCGACGCTAATTCAGATTACACTAGCAAATTTCTGTTCGGATAAACAAACTGTTTGGTAATTTTTCCTTCAAATAAAAAATTACTCCGTTTCATTTTTGTCTGATGGGTAGTTCCTTGATGAATTCTTCTTACCAGAGGAGGCAATGGAAGATCCACAACCTCAAAAATTACGGGAAAAGATCGATGCCTATAAAACAATGGTATGGGAGGCTTATAGAAGCAAGCCAATCTCAATATGGATTCTGCTACTCCTAAGTTCAGCATCTATGCTAGTTGCATTTCCCGCTTCCAGCCTCTTGTCCCGCCTTTATTTTGCCAACGGCGGGAAGAACAAATGGATTATTTCATGGGTTGCGGTTGCGGGTTGGCCCCTCACTGCCCTCATCTTGGTCCCCATGTACTTTTTTCTCGAAATACATCCCACTCCATTGGACCTCAAGTTGATCATCTCTTATGTTGTGTTGGGATTTTTAAGTGCTGCTGATAATCTCATGTATGCTTATGCCTATGCATACCTTCCGGCTTCTACCGCCGCTCTTATTGCATCCACTTCACTCGTTTTTTCCGCACTTTTCGGGTTCCTACTAGTGAAAAACAAGATGAACGCATCTATTATTAACTCGATCGTGATCATCACTGCTGCCATGGTCATTGTTGCATTGGATTCTAACTCCGACAGATACGGGTACATTACTAGCCATGAATACGCAATGGGGTTTGTGTGGGATATTGTGGGCTCTGCCCTTCACGGGCTGATATTCGCTCTGTCGGAGCTGATCTTTGTTAGACTGCTCGGCAGGAGATCTTTCCATGTCGTGTTGGAACAACAGTTAATGGTTTCGCTCTTTGGGTTCCTCTTCACGACGATCGGGATGGTCGTGACAGGTGGTTTCCGGGGTATGAAATCCGAGGCGGCGACTTTTGTGGGCGGGAAGTCTTCGTACTATCAAGTGATCGTTTGGTCCATTTTAACCTTCCAATTCGGTGTTCTTGGAAGCACGGCGGTTGTGTTTATCGCGTCCACCGTGCTCGCGGGTGTCCTAAATGCTATAAGAGTGCCGATCACAAACATTGCTGCAGTTGTGTTGCTGAGTGACCCTATGAGTGGGTTCAAGATCATTTCTTTGATGATTACATTTTGGGGATTTGGCTCTTATATATACGGCAGCTACCCCATGAAGAAAGATTCATCCTCACACAATGAAAGCAGAGAAACAAGAGAAGATTCATCCTCACACAATTGAAAGATATATATACTTGTATTCTGATTCATAATTTATGATAGGCCAATGATAAACCTTATGTCTTTTCCACTTTGTGCTGTGGCACCATTCTTAGGACACCTAGTATTTTTTTTGGAGAGGACTCCTCCACTATAGTGTATTATTACTAGTGCAATCATGAGTGTAAGTTATTGATATTGTTTTCAAAAAAAAAAGGAAAATAATGAAACAACATATATACTTCGTACATTAGTTTGTAGCAAATGTGATGTTATTAGGAGAAAAGAGAGACTTTAATGCATTATTTTTCATCACTTTCATTTATTACCGTAAGAATCAATAAAATTGGAGCTCACTTTATGTATATATACTCATATAGATTCGCACACATGCACATACACATTTCTATCTATAATTTGGTTAAAATTAAAAAGTACTTTCTTACAAGATCAATTTAGATGATTGCTATGGATAAATAGATTGATTAATGAGATCAGTTTTAGAGCTAAATGCGGTGCCATTGTTATCTTTTTAAAAAACATGAATAACGCTTAATCACTTCAGTTTATGAATAAGAAACCAAAATAAAATGCAGTAATCTGAAAAATGTGATGTTTTGAACAATCCGGAGAACGAGTTAGGGGGGCACGCGCACGTTTTATTCTCTTGAAATTCTTTCCACTCACCAAAAAATTCTTCTCATTTTTGTGTACTTGTATTTATTTACTTTTTGGTTACTCAGAGCCCGTTTGGTGGCACGAAAATCAGCTGATTTGGCTGATTTTGCTGAAATTTATGAAGTTCTAGCTGAAGTGGCCTGATTGGCTGATTCTACTGATTTTATAAAAAAATATATTTTATTAATAAAATAAAGAAAAAATTATATGTAAAAATAGCTAAAATGGTCATCTACAGTAACTTCAGCAAATACAGCCATAAAAGTAACTCTAACCTTACTTTTTCTGCTTGTTACACGATTCAGTGCGCGAAAACAAAAGTTACGTCTTTGGTGAAAATGTTGGTTGATAAACCTGATAAGCCGAAAAACAGTGTTGCCAAACAGCCTCTCAATCGCAACCATACATTTCACTTAATTCACATTTTCTTAAATTTCGATTCAAATTAAATCGGGAATAATTTTAATAATTTTATGAGACCAGAAGTAGAATTTGGCACAACACTTATAAAATGCGATATTACCCGAAATAGGACCAAAAGAGTTTGAAAATTCCAAAATAGGACTGTCATGTTTTTATTCCCAAAATAGGACTAATTACTGTCATGTTTTGACAGTATCAGACTTCAAACATGGCAGTATTTTCCAAACTTGGCAGTAATTACTCCTATTTTGAGAATAAAAACATGACAGTCCTATTTTGAAATTTTCAAATTTTTTTAGTCCTATTTCGGGAACTTTCCCTTATAAAATTAGAAGCGCGCATCCATTCTTTATTAATGAATGACGTGATTTGGTTAGTGCTGGACTCGGGCCGGGCGGCCCGGAACCGGCCCTGCCCGGTTACTGTTTGGCCCGGCCCGGCCCGGGGCCCGGTGTGTCCGCTGGTTCGGTTCGGCCCGGCCCGGCTGCTGGGCGGTTCGGGCCCGGGCCCAGGCTTTGGTGAACCGGCCCGGCCGGTTCGGGCCCGGTCCGGGCCGGATTTTAATTTTTTTTTTTTTTGAAATTTTTTTAAGTTTTAGGTTGGATTAGGTATTTAGGGCCATTTGAGGTGGTTTGGGATGGTTTGGGGTTGAGGGGGAGGGGTAGGGGATTAAATAGGAGAACAAAAAAAAAATTAATTGGGCTGGTTCGGCCCGGCCCGGCCCGGTTTGGCCCGGAACCGGGACCGGAACCGGCCACCGGCGGTTCGGGCTCGGGCCTCCCTTTCCTGGCCCGAGGCCCGGCCGGGGCCAGGCCCGAACCGGGCCCGAACCGGCCCGAGTCCAGCACTAGATTTGGTACTCATTTATCACGGGAAACGAAACTTTCTATTGGACTCAATCTTACACACATTTAAAGGTGTATTTAAAGGTGACTTCTAGGCTTCTAGCATCTTTCAACAAACTCATTTATTAGTTATTTAAAGATGTATAAAATGTACTATAATTAAAATGAAATAATATTTTGAAGATATCATTTACAAATAGAAAACTCATACTAGTACTGGTAATATAGGGATACAATATAAATTGTGGATTTCTGTTTTCCTTTTTTTAGGTATTTCAACTCGTTCTAAACCATGTTTCTTCATTTGGATGAATGCAATCCGGTACATTAGGAATCCTGTAATCCATTAATTGCAGAAAAACTTCTCTTCAATCACAACATCTCTTTTGATGGATTTACATTGTTGGATTTTGAAAGTTTAAAATATTTGCTAGTGATTAGATTTGCGTTGTTGAACTATGTTTTAGTGTGATTTAAATTTTACAAATGTTGCATTAAAATTGCACAAAAATAGATTCAAGATGCACTAAACATATGTACTACGGACTTCATAAGTATTTTGTTAAGACATGTGGCTCGATCCTAAAAGGTAAACCTGATTAGAAGAGTATCATAAAGTCTTATATAGTGTTTTATTGTTATATAACTTCCACTGTGAGACATATACTTTAACATACTTCCTCAGCCCAAACCGGAATGGATAATACCAGGGTGTATAAATGGGTCAAACATACCCTTAACAAGCTACCATTGATCATGAGTGTTAAACAAGCAGTCAAACCACAACCGAACTTGGCTCTGATACCATGTTAACACTCGAGGTTCCATTCTAAGAGGTCAACCTGATAAGAGGAGTATCTCAAAGTTTTATATAGTGCTTTATTGTTTTATCGCTTTCCGGTGTATGACAAATACTTTTACATATTTACAAAAATGCCACTGTTTTAGGTTGCATATTTTAGTGCAAAATGAAATGTTTATTTTACTACTCCGTGTAAAATAGTTGACTGATAAGTAGAATCCACCAATACATTAGTTACTTTGCATGTGATGTGCAGGAACATAAAAGCTTTACATTGTTTACCTTAATTATTTAATGTAAATTGTAAGAAACTTTTAAAAAAACATTTTACTATATCATGTAATGTATTTTACGTGGGGGTAAAATACTTCATATATGCTTTTTATAAAGCATTGTAATGCCTTTGCGTTCAACTTAAAGAAAATCACACATTCAGTCAAACAATGTAATCTATTTTAGATACAATCGACTACATCTCTAAACTATGCATGCACTTATTTCATATATCAAGCTTTAATGTGCAAATAAAGAAAACCTAAAAATTAGCGATAAATTAAGCACACAATTGAGGATCACAAAAAGATTCTGTATTAAGTGTTTCAAAATTCACAAAAACATAAACTCATGTGTCTCATCCTACCTCAAAATTCAAACTTTGTCATCTTATCTTTTTTGGCTGTCCAAAAAAGAACCAAAAAACTTTTTTGGTTCTTGTTTTTTCTCTCTCCTATTTTACAATTCTTAACCACACAATTTTAGGATCTTTGGGAAAAAATCATATTTTAAATTGTCTTTCTTTGAGCCCGTTTGGAGAACTCTGTTTTCGGCTTATCAGGCTTATCAGCCAGCTTTTTCACCAAACACGTAACTTTTACTTTCGCGCGCTGAATTGTGTAATAAGCCGAAAAAGTAAGGTTGGAGTTACTTTTCTGGCTGTATTGGCTGAAGTTACTGTAGAGGACCATTTTAGCTATTTTTACATATAATTTTTTCTTTAATTTATTAATAAAATATATTTTTAAAATATTTTTTTCTTAAATCAGCAGAATCAGCCAAAACAGCCACTCCAGCCAGAATATCATAAATTTCAGCAGAATCAGCCAAAACAGCCAATTTTGGTGCTACCAAACGGGCTCTTTTTTTCTTTTAAAAACTTTGCTAATTACCCTTTGTTTTGCATATTTGCTAATTACCCTTTTAAACAACTACTTTAGTATCTATATTCAATCTTAGAATCCCGAATTAGACTCCTAGTTAGGACCGCCGCCGAACCAGGCCCTTCACAGGAAGATTTGCTGATTGGGTTTCACGATATACCACCAATTGTCCCCGGGTTTTAGGATTTCAAGAAGCCGGTTGTAGGCAGCAAGTATGGCCTAGAGCATTGTGAATTCCGGTCTCTCCCTAGCAGGTTTAGGGTTTGGTTTTTCCTTAGCAGATCTAAGGTTTGGTTCTTCTGGCCGGTGAATCCCCTTCACCTGTGTCCGGCGCTGGGATTGGATTTGAGGCAGACAAGAATCCTTGCCCAAGCTTGACGCCATCAAAGCCAGAGTTCGGTGATCGATTTCTTCGTGAGCAGGGCATGGCAGCGATGAAGATGACCGCTAGCGGTGGATTTGCTACGAGCGAGGGACAAGGAGAGTTGCACAGATTTCGAGCAGGCCAGATGATGATTGACAATGAAGGATCAATCAGATTGGTACCAAAGATACAACCTCCTCCTGAACCACCACCATGGGTTGTGCGAGATGCTAGAGTCCGTGAAAGTTTCCCAATAAATTTTTATTTTTATTTTTTGAAAGAATTTTTTTTCTTAAATTTAAAAAAAAAAATTGTCATTTGGTTTCTTGTTATCGTCTATGTTGTTAGGTTTGTCAATTTGTTTGAGAATTTAGTCTTGTTTGATGTCATTAAGCATGTTTGGATCTATGGGAATATGGATGGTTGTGTCAAGCCCATTACATGGTTAGCGATTCGAGTTGCTCTTTCAGGGCTGACCGTTTCTAAGGCTCATCATAGGGTTTACCGTCGTAGTTGTTGGAGTCTAGTTGGTGTCAGATTTGTTTTTCCTTTAATTGGTGTAATGATCCTGAAACTTATGATATGAATAGAGGCAAGTTTTCATTAAAAAAAAATCACACAATTTTACGTCATTATTTCCCGTGCCAGTCAAACTTGACAAAATTTTGAGGGACGAAAAAAGTACATCTTTATTAAACTTGAAAATAAGAAATAATTCTTCAGTTGAAGAGCCAGTATCCCTTAATTATAAGAATTTTCATGATTTAGTACTACCATTCTCCCATTGCAGCAACGACTGTCACTATCATTTCCTTGCCCTATTCAAAATTTCAAATCCTTCAAGATCTGTGCAAAGGCGAAACTCGTGCTTGAGGTTGTGGGGGAGACCAAGAAAACTATTTTGTAATTTTATCTTATTTTATTAAAAAAAAACTTTAAATAATCATACCTCCATATCATTCAAAGGTTCTCATGGCAAAACCTCTCGATTATTTAGACAATAATTAAATATACTAATTGGAGTATATTTTGAGAAATAATTTTGATTAGTGTATAATATAATGAGTAGTATTAACGATAATTGTGATGTTATAAATGTATTAGTGTTAGTATTTGATGATTAAATTGTTTTTTGAGAGTGTTAATTGTTTTTTAAAATAGAAAATGGGAACCTTTAAGTAGGACGTCCAAAAAGGAAAGTAAGAACCTTTAAATGGGACAGAGGAAGTAGAAATTGCCTTCCATAAAGGCTTAAATCAATAATCATAAGTATTTTGTGAATAATTTTTATAATACCAACTATTTAAATATGTAACAAAAGTGGCAGAAAGTAATTTCTCTCTAAAATTCAGTTAATTAATCTTCAAATATTCATGTCAAAATATTAAATAGAAATTGCAAAAGTAGGAGTAATTAAAAACGTTTTGAAATTTCAAAATAAATTTTCATGTTTTTTATTCCCTAAATAGGACTAATTCTGCCAAGTTTGAAAAAAATGTCACGTTTAAAGCCTAGTAATGCCAAACTTGGCAGAAAATTTCTCCTATTTAGGGAATAAAAATGTGGATCGTTGCGCTTACCGCTACACTAAAAGCAATCGCTGATAGTGTAGCACGCCCCTCCCCATTTATAGCACATGCGAAGCGCCACGCGGTTGCTGGCACCGACAGGCTGGCTGTTGCTGGCACCGAATACCCGCAGCCCAACAATCTCCCCCCAGCACCTGCCAGCCTACAACTGCGCAACATGCTGTTGTCGGGGGTCGAACCCGTGACCTTGGCTCTGATACCACTTGTGGATCGTTGCGCTTACCACTACACTAAAAGCAACCGCTGATAGTGTAGCACGCCCCTCCCCATTTATAGCACATGTGAAGCGCCACGCAGTTTGATTGCACTGACAGGCTGGCTGTTGCTGGCACCGCACACCCGCGGCCCAACAAAAAAAACATGATAATCTTATTTTGGAATTTCAAAATTTTTTTACTCAAATTTAGGGAATTTCTCAATAATAAACATGTTACCCCCCATTTCCAAATGTATACCTAGTATCATTTTTATAGTTTGGTATCAATTTTTTATGTCTTAAATGATTGACTTTCTAACTAAAAAATGGCTCTTGCTTAGATGATAGTTGATATAATTTAGTGGAGATTGCCCTAAATAAGAGTAAATAAGGTTTGGAATTCCAAAATATGACTAATATGTTTCTCTTTCCGAAACAAGAGTTATTACTGTCATGTATGTCATGATTGAAAAAATATTGTCATTAATCACAATAAATATTGTCATGTTAAATGCACTGTACTGCAACTATTTGGCAGTCATGCCTACAAGATGACAGTAAATATTGTCATGTTAGTCACATTTCGAGAAGAAAAAAATAGTGGTCCTATTTTAGAATTCCAAACTTCAATTAGTCCATTTGAGAAATCTCCCACCGTGAAAATGAGGGATATACTGATATACCCATGTACTATTTGTCCATTACCTTTAACTAGATTTTTCACCCGTGCTTTGCACGGGATGCAGTTAATAAGCATTAATTTGTTGTGTAAAGATAGAACAATGCATATACTGTTTCTAGCAAAAGTAAATGAAGATTAAAAAAATTAACAATTATTATATACTTCCTAATTGTAAACAACATTCAATGTCTTTTTGACCGGGTTTTCCATCACCATCACACATAATAAAGTTCAACCAAGACGGGGACGTTAGTTTTAAGCAATGTTCTAAAAGGCGCTAGGCGGTAGTCGGGCGCCAACCCAGCGCCTAGCGCCTAGGCGGCTAGGCGGGCGCCTAGTCGGGGATTAGTCGGAGACAAAGAAATTGCATTTTTATCTATATTTTTGCATAAATATGATAAGTAATATTATATTTTTGTGTGTACAAAATACATACTCCGTATATACATATACACTAACAAACATGAATTATAGAATTATCAGATTTAATCATACGTAGCATATGATAAATAATCACTAATTAACTTCATTATGTTATAAATATAAATAATGATGAAATTTAGGTATATATAGAAACATATATAGTTTTATCTTTATTTACAACTCATTTTCTTTATATCCATGGCTAAAGCTAAAGTACGTATATCACTTAGAAAACTAAAATTTAAAAGTAAAGTAATGTTTGGTGAATTTAGACGGCCTAGGCGGCCGATTAGGCGCTCTAGGCGTGCTACTAGGCGGCATAGGCGGCCGACTAATTCACCTAGACGGTAAATCAATTAGACGGAGCGCCTAGATGAAAATCGGGACGCTCGACCACCGCCTAGCGCCTAGGCGGGGACTAGTCGGACGCCTAGAACGATTTTTAGAACAGAGGTTTTAAGATCGCGACGTAAAGTCGTTCGTTGGTGAAAATTGAACGGCATAAGAAAATACCAACTATCTCCAAAGACCGTCCATGACTCTTATTAATGGTTATTATCGCCTAATTGAGCAACTGTCTATGGTTGGATACAAATGACAGTTTTAGGTCAGACGAAGTCAAACTAAGCTTCAGAAAAATAAACTTTTGTCTTCATATGTACATGACAACATTTGAATCTCAAGAATATGGATTCCTAGTTTAGTGGCGATAGCGAGTGCCATTACACAATCTGGAACAAAAGAATGATCAATATACTTCATTGGTATCAGTGGTGCACCCACTTTGAGTTTCAGCTCATGACTTGGCACACCGAAAAATTCAATGCTATTGAGAAAATTTGGAGAATGGTCTCTTGAAAGAGTGCACTGTCTGATCATAAGAGGATTCTAAATCCGTGCTTAAACATGCCGAACTATTTACATAAATTAATGGATTGAGCTCTGATTTAACAGTTTGATCTCTTGCTTTGTACTACATAGCTCTTAAAAGCTCTTATAGATGTAGCCTAAAATTTGAAAGTAAAAGTGAGTATTCAGAAAAGTAGTTGAAATATTGAAAAGCTATTTTCCAGAAAAGTTGTTCGGAAAGTGAGGGTATATTTGCAAAAAATAAAAAATAAAATGAATTTTCAGCTTTTGGAAAGATATTTTCGTGACAACTTCTGCTTAAATTAAACATTTAAAACTTAAAAGCTATAATCTACTTTTAACTTTTTTCTATTACACAAAAAACACATATTTTACCAAACACTATCAACTTTCAATTTTCAAAATCAATTTTTTTCTCAAACACTTTAAAAATCAACTTTTACTATTAAACACTTTTTTCAAATTCACTTTAAAAAATGATTTTTTTTAAAAACAAAAGCAATTGCAAGCATTTCCTTAGAAAAAATCAATTTTATTAAATCCCACTTGACAATCTTACTATTTTAAGTCATTAACTTTGTGATATCACAATTGCATTTGACATATCATCTTGCCAAGGATAATACGTATTACGTAACGTCTTACTTCCAAAGCAAACTCTTAATTTGGGTGAATAGCAAGAAAAATGTTGAATCAATAATCTACTATTCTACTTGAAAACAATATAATGAAAACATAAATAACGATTCAGAACATTTAAATGCAAAACCCAAAAGTGAAACTGTGAAACAATAATGTAATGTTAAACACATCTCTCTTATAACTTGTATACTCCTACGCGGAGAAACAATTTCACCTGAATGATTTGAATTCAAAATTTGGTATACAAAACCAAATCTGGACATTAAATTTAAAGTAAAAGTTGTGTTTCATAAAAAAGACTAGGCAATGATTCAATCAAATGACCAGGTAACAGGTCAATACCGTCAATGCCAGAAAAATGGATAAACATCAATACATCTCTATAAGAATTAACATATAGTTATATATACAGTTGAAATAAAAGGTAGCTATTCATTATGATAAACCAAATACTAATAATACTTGATAAAGCATTTAAAACACTGATACTATTCCAAAGTATGTAGTATAATTTTAACTATGCACTGTTTCTCCTATGTTGAATCCCAAAAAGCAACATCAAACCAACCCACAATTGATGATCTCCACTTGCAATTGATAGACCACATTTTGCTTCTTCCTTAGGTTTTGCTTCTTTATCTGGTTCCTCTTTTGGTTTTGCATACTACTTGGGCTGTGCAGCGGGCTTCTTTGATGGTGGAGGTGGGACAGATTCCGCTTGTTTAATCTCACCCATATTTCACAAAAAATTGGCTGCTTAACCATAGTCCAGAAATATCTCTCAATATGAGGAAAGTCCTAAGTAAATGACTTTGTCATGATCAGCTTAAATCCAACACTAAGGTTGCAGGTCATAACAATGTCAGCTAGTGTTACAGCCTAACAGGATGTCCAACTAACCAAGTGTTGGATGCAAGATGGGTGTAAAGGCTTCAAGGGCTCTCTTCAATGCAGTTACTGCAATCTCCTCAGCCTACATGGACAAACAAACTAATTTACATATATGTACTGTTTTAATTAAGCAGTAAAAAGTTGGGTGTATAACACCCAATAAATACAGTACTAAACTACTAATTAAAAATCTAGACTGTATAATAAAACACTCAAAGAAAAAATTTTAAATCAATGTATAGTTCACAATTATAACCTTGAAAGTGAGAAGAGCCAAGAAGATGAGACTTTTAAAAATATAAACCTCAATGTAAATGTTTGCTCAAAATTCATGTAGTTGGGAAAATTTTGTGTGATTGAATCAAAGTAAATGTTTATATAATCACGGATTGGCGAAATTGAACTCATGAATTAAGAAGGGTAAAAAAAAAATTCAAGGGATTGACTCATTCAGATCAAGAAGCCCTAACCCAACAAATAAACAAATGCAGAATGGACGGAAATTTGTCTGAGATACTGAAGAAAAAGTAATCTGATCTGCAAAGCCATACATCCAAGTGTTATCAAGCTTCCCCGCTAACTACTTCAATTGATTTGTAAAAAAGCTTTTTCAACCAATTATGAAGCAAAGAACTCTCTCTTGCAATCCTCTGCCATGTCTTATAAGTTCATCTTCCCTACCTCTTATTATATGTCAAAAGTTAGTATTCATTAGAAGAACCAAGCAAGAACATATTTTCAAAAAACTAAAAACAAAACAAATTAAAGTATGTTTAATGAAAATTTTGACTGCTGACTATAATCCATTGACTGCATTTTCTTAGCTATATGAAAACTGTGGAATATAGACGGAAAATATTTCAAAAAATTAAAGCAAACACCTTCTGGAGAATTTATTCCTATCATTTAAAGCAAAAAAGATGAATGATATGACTACATCAGTTGAATCTCAAATCAAGAAAGTATAAAAAAATGATGTTTGTAATTATCAAAACAACTTGGATCAGAAAGTATAAAAATATACAACTCTATAAAAATAAATCACGTTCTCTAATTTGAACCTGAATATATCATATTGGTCAATCCCAATAACAATATATAGTTGGTGTATTATCTAACTTAAAATGGATGATGAAGAGGATAGAAAGAAATAAAATATCCAAGAAGAGGACAGAACTTTTTACCCTAATTTACACATATATCCAAATGAAGTAGACAAATTAAAAAAGGAAATTAGAATCTATAATCCCAAGTTTGATTTGAAGCTAAAATGAGTGACAAATTGGAGAGGCTGAGAATTGCAAATAAGCAGAGAAAACAATGAAGAAACCATTTTTTACTTTAAGGCTTGGGTTGTAAGTATGTAGCCATCACCATTTCAATTTCCTTGCCTTTTGTTTTCCCTTTAATCAAGAAAAGGTTACTGAGCATTCATCAGTACAATCCAAAAGGTGAAGATTAGAAATGAAAAAAAAAGGTAAATGTTATTATACCAGTTCTAGCAAACAGGAAGTCAGGAACCATCATAATTAATGCAATAACAAACTTCTGCTCCTGCAATAAAAAAAATACTTCTACAGGTTACAAACTCAACTCCAAAAAAATACATAGAGGTTAAAATTTCAGGTTGAGAGTAAAGAAAACTCAGAACAACTAAGACCAAATAGTTATATAAAGAGATTCATAATCTTAAGAAGGCATATATGCTCAAGAATTTAATAATGTTGGCCAAACAAAAATATTGAGTTAAAGATATTTAAAACAACCAAGAATATTGAGTACATGTAAAACAACCAAGAATATTTAAAAGAATAGTCAAAGATTGATCTAAACGATTAAGATTCAAAGAGTAGCATCCAAAAAGTGAAAGTCCTTTTCAAATGAAGCCATGTTTTATCTTCCCCAGGAAGCAAGTTGAAAGAGTAGCATTGTGAAAAAAGAATGTATCTCATTAAAATCAAGATGATTTGCAAGCTAGAATGGATGAGTTATGTACTTATATTAAATAAAAATTTACCAAATCTGAAGCACAATCATCTGCTAAGGCTGAGATACCTATAAACATCATGTAAGTACAGGATAGTACAGTTTTATAGAAGAACTCAAACCTAATAGAGCTATTGGACATTTGGACAATTAGATTCATCAAAGCAGACGAAGCTATATTCTTATACAAATTCATGGTGCTTGAAAGCATTCATGCTTTGAGCGAAAAGGGAGTGAAATTCCTCCACATTGATAATAATATAATATCTATAGGCTGCCTAATATGGCCTTGTGTCTGGCCTCATAGGGAGAGAGATTTGAGAAAATTGACTGATCTGAGATAAAGTAGAACGAATTTAGTTACTTACTACATATTTAGTAAATGTAACCAATCAAACTCTGTATGATGGTTGCTTTCTAGGATCGTTGCTTGTAACTCAATATTTAGCAACATTGAAATTAAGTCAATTTCAAAATCTGTATACTGCATTTGCTTGGAAGAAATCTAAACTAACCAATCAAACTCAGATAAAATAACATAACTAAATTAGGTTTTTGCACCATGTTTTCATAATCCATGAACAAAAATGTGTTTAGTATTATGAAGCTAGTAAGTTATCTCAATATAAAAACCTGTAGACTGCATTTGCTTGTTCAAGTTTTGCTTTCTTCTAGCTCTGCATCAGTGCATCGAAGAAAAGTGAAAAAACTAAGCCTTAGATTGAAATAGTGGATCGATGAAGCTGATTATAGGAAGAAAAAAGACCATCTGCCTTGTCTAATTCATTTCATTCGAAGAAGCATCGGACTTGTTTGGAATCGCGGTTTAGTTTCATTAACAGGGGGTGATAAATGGAAGGAGTCATACCAGCGATGAAGGCTTCGATCTGAGAGACCGATGAATTCGTCATAAAACGACTTCTAATGAAGGCGACTGAACGAACTCTGAATGAAGAAGGCGAGTGAGGACCGTGAGGTTCTGCCGTAAAATGATTTCTCATGGAGGCGACTGGATGAATTCAACGGAGAAGGCAATTGATGTTTTTAGATAGAGGGTAAGAAAAGGAGATCTGAGAAGTGAAAAATGTCGAGGATGGCATGATCAAAAGATTTGAGCCGTAGATCTGTATTTGTTGATAGGGCGACTGAAATGTTGAGCGGGAAAATGAAACTCCACAAATTATTGCAATTATGTAGAGTGATTATGTAGAGTGATTATTATTTTTTAGGGATATATTATATTTTTCCCTCACTTTAATGTTAATAGATAAACAATATATATAATCAGCAAATTAACATTTACCGTAGATAGCAAATCGCCATCCGGGAGTTTCACGTCATCTTTAGTCTCTCCACTTTCGGTTAGAAGAGCTGAGAGGCCTAAAAGTTTATTACAGTAGGTATAATAAGATCACAAATGTTCGTGTCAGGTATACCTGACAGGAACCGCCGTCCGGCCTCCTCCTTTTGGGGGCCTTCCCGGTGGTATTTTTTGCTCAGATTTTTGTGTATGTTCCTCATCAAGTCTAGTTCATCCATACCAAATTTCAGCAAAAAATTCAATCGGGAAGGTCGTCAAATGATTTTTGCAAGTTAACTGGTCCGGAATATGTATTTTCCGGACCAGTTAACTTGCAAAAATTATTTGACGACCTTCCCGATTGAATTTTTTGATGAAATTTGGTATGTATGAACTAGACTTGATGAGGAACATACATAAAAAATTTGAGCAAAAAATACCACCGGAAAGGCCCCCAAAAGGAGGAGGCCAGACGGCGGCTCCGGTCAGGTATACCTGACCGGAAGATTACTCTAATAAGATATAACTACAAAATTCCCTTATTCTAAGTAGGTAAAATAAGACATACTGTCTCTTTCTCTCAAAAGTTTGTCAAGTTTGATTGTATCAATGAAATTTGTGCAGAAAATAAAGAAATAAAAAGTATCACAAATTCATTGATAAAAACAACAAATGATAAAGTTTGAAGGACATGTAAAAGACATGAAAGAGTGACATCAAGTGAAAAAGGAAGACTGCTGGAAAACAGCGCGTAACTTTTTCTAGCTAGAGAATGAGTCGAATAATACTACCTAAAAGAACTTTTAAATCATCAAAACAGAGGGATACTAATACGTCACAAAAAAATAGCATATTAGCTTTTCTTGATCAATGTTGACAAATCAAAGATGACATATATATTACTCCCTCCGTTCCTAAAAATTCTTCCCGGTTTGAATTGGCACGCCTATTAAGAACGTGGAATAAAGTGGAAATGTGTGGTTGTGGTTGTGTAAGAAAAAGGTAAAATGAATGTGGTTCACACAAATTGTCCAAAAAGGGAAAGTGGGAAGAATTTTTGTGAACGGCCCAAAAAAGAAAGTGGAAAGTATTTTTGGGAACGGAGGGAGTAGAAAACTCATGAAGGGATTATATAGGAACGAAGACATTCAAATATAGACACCAAAATCACCTTTTTTATATAAAGAACAAAAAAATCCCTAAGGAAAACCATCGTAAAACACAGCCTATTTTTCAAACAGGACTAACATTTTTTTTCCTTGTAAAATAGAATTGAACTTTTTCATTTTTAATATAGGGAGCTTTTATTATTTTATTCTCTGTAGGATTATTAAATATTCTTTTTTTGAAAATCATACACTTGGTGCGAGCTTTTGTGACTATTGTACATGTTTTTTTTGTGCAATTTCTTGAAATAAGGACGTAGCAATATGCTATTATGTATATCCATATTTAACAGACAAATGTTGAAATGTGTATATGAATATTTATATATAGTGGGTGGCTTACAAAACCATCATCCATGCCAATCAACTTATATTCACCACGACTAACATGAGGCACCTGAAGAAAAAAGAGGAGATCAAGTCATGTAAAAGGAAAAAATAGGTAAAAACGAAAAGAAGGAAATGGTCCAGGTTGAATTACATCACAATTATGAGATGAAGGAACAAGATCTTCAAGCTTCTTCCCAATAAAAATATCAATTCCAATAAAGTGAAACCGTTCAGCCCCGTCCTTGCCAGTTTTTGTAATGGTGATCTCAGTAACCTATGGAGTAGAAAAATGGAAAAGATTACACATTACACAACCAATTCATTTCACAAAACCCACTTTATTAAGGAAAGAATGTCATATTTTGACTTTACATATATTAAGAAAACGAATTTGACTTCACACTGTAGAGACATTGTTTGACACTGTAGCGACACTGTTTGACATTGTTTTGCATTGTTTACTGTTTGGCCTGGTATAGATTTGTTTACCAAATAAAGAAGTTAAAGAAGTAGGACAATTATTTAAGGACTTTCATTTTGGGAAAGTAGGACATTCTTTCAGTGACGGAGGGAGTATTACATAAAATGTGTTCCCAACGGGATCAACGGAAATCTGAACCGAAAGGAATAGAATGACATTATTCTGATCCCACTAGATGTCGAGCTAGCCACTGAGTGACCAGTACAAAAAAATTCCTTAATGTTTAAAGCATTTTTAAAGGAAAAATTGATAGTAATAATAATCTCAACTATTGGCGGTCCGCCCATAGTAATCCCAAATATCGATTATTTCAGAATAATCCCAACTTTATGGACCTTCCGCCAATAATAGTCCTTATAAATAAATTCTTGTAGTTTTTAAAGTAGATGAGAAGAGATATAGCAAGTAATCCTTATAAATAATCATAACTTTTAATTTTTACGCTTAATTTTTATTTAAAAATCACTTGTTGGAGGAGGTAATATCTGGTCATGGATCATTATTGGCGGACGGTCCATATAGTTGGGATTATACAAAAATAATCAATAGTTGAGATTATTGTCAACGGATTGGCAATAGTTGGGATTATTATTTTCAATTTTTCCTTTTTTAAATTTGGAGTGAGCTAGCAAGTATTAAATACCGGACCGCATCACACAATGTAGCCGCGGGCGGTGGCGGATTCACAACGGATCGCTATGCAGGTGTTTTTTCGAATCGCATAAGAAACCCGCAACGTTAACGGGGCCGCATCACACCGCATCCGGCCACAACGGCAACGCAACACCACCGTCCCATCTTGAGGGAAACTGAATATATTTCATGGTACCGCGGCCGAAATACGCATCCCAATGGCCGCATTAGTCATAACCATAATGACCCCAACCACTATTTAAAACCTTGAGATTTGAGAGGTTGAGCCTAATTTGACTCTCCCCAGAACTCCATAGATCTAGGTTTTCATAAACTGATTGGAGCCCTAAGTTTTAATACTCCCTCCGTCCTGCAAAGATGTTCCCACTTTCCTTTTTAATAAAACAGTGTCAAACAGTGTCGAAACAGTGTTAAAACAGTAAAATTTATCTTCAGTTAAGTTTATTTCCTTAATATGTGTGTAGATCAAATCATAAACATCTTTGTGGGAAGGAGGGAGTATTAGATAAGAATATAGGATGGGAACTAGTTTTAGGGGTAGCTGATTTATGTAGGTGAGAAGAAGAAGACCTTGCAAGGACGGCCTTTAATGACTAGAAAGTCATTCTTGCGAATGCTGCCGGCTTGCTGCGAGGTGACCTGCGGTGCCCCTGCATCTCTCTTCTCCCCACACTCCTCACCGTCCGACATGGCCGCCGGTGCCTTCTTCTCTCACGAACCGCTGATCAACAAAAACGGGTATGAGACCGGGTAAATAGAAGTGCCCGTTTTAGATACTGGATTAGGGGCGGTTTGGGTTTCCAGTTTTGGGGGCCGGCTCCGGTTCGGAAAATTCTGCATTTTTGTCTGCAATCTGTTTTCTGATGACTGCTTGAGGATTAATGCCAGGCTTGACTCAGCTTGAGGGAGAGGCAATTACTCCGCCAATAAGTACGTGCAAATCAAACGGCAAGCTCAAATAAGGATGTGATAAATAATGCATAACAATTTTATGCGGAATATATTGAAAATTTATGTGCTTTGCCCGTCAACTTATCCTAATATTTTTTAGAGAAACTGTCAAATAAATTCTTATACTCTGTATTACTTCCTCCTTAATTTAAAAACTTTCCCATTTCAAAAGTAGGTAGATTAAGACTAGTGAAAAAGATATGAATTAATTGAGAATATGATGGGAAAATAGTGAAATAATGTGATAGAATATAGGATAAATCCAAAAAAAATAGTAGTAATAGAGTATTATTTTCAAAATTATTGAGGATGTGATGAGAAAAATTAAAAATGGGAAGATTTTTTTATTACGGAGGAAAAGGAAAGTGAGAAGATGTTTTTGTACTATAAAAACCAATTAAACACTCGAACTGGTAACTCTCCAGACGAGGTAGTCGACGTGGCATTTTCTTCATCCTCTTCCACCATTTCTTTTCTAACCCTCCTTTTTTCTTCCTCTTTTTTTTTTCCTCCACCGCTTCTCTCTTCTTCGACCAAATTCTTTTCTGTCTTCTTAGTTGCAAATGAGGGAAAGAAAGAGCCAGATGAAATGCAATTAGAAGCGAGGAAATCACGAGCCAGAGAAGAAGGAAGAAGATAAGCCGCCGGAAACCGAGAAATAGGAGAGGAAAGAGCCCCTCTTTCCCAGCCACCTGCTACTCCGGCGGACCTTCTACCTGATATGCAGCAGAAGCCCCACATTGACAAACCGGTATCGAAAAAATGCAGGGAACTGAAAGTTATCTTGAGGCTCTCCAGCAATGACCACGAAAGAGCGCCTCAAATCTGGTGGATATGAAGGATTGAAGGTGAACCAGGTCAACCCTGATTCAGACTCCACCTCCTGCCGCCTATGTGAAACTTGTCATTGAAACTCATGCCATGAGAACAAAATCGTTAACCTCTGCGGTCAGAAAAAGAGAATGGAATCAATTTTTCGCCTTTAATAAAGATATGATGAATTAATTCGCAATGAAAGGTAATTAATTAGCCATGAATTACAGTGGAAGTCTCCGTTTGGGTTGAGCAAAGAAAGAAGAAAGAAAACAGGACAGGTAATTAAGTGGAAGATAAAAGGTATAGAGAAAGAACACAAGAAAGAAAAAGAAATTGAAAAGTAAATATGTGAATTGCCATATCGGCTAGAGTAACCGGTTAACTTGGAAGTAACTTGCTAAATTATAAGATTGAATGTTTTTATAAAGTTCAGAGACTTAATAAGGTGTGCTTTAGTTTCAAGAGCTTAATTAACTTTTTTTGATATACTATAAGGTTCTATTTGAGAGTTTTCCTTAATTCCTTTTTTATTTTGAATGCTGTGTAATAATCAAAATTAGTGAGATTAGAGTTGCTTTTCTAACGGAGTTGGCTAAAATTACCGTAGATGACCATTTTAATTATTTTTTAGTTTTTTTAAATTTTATTACCAAAATATGATTCAAATATGGAGTATATCTTTTTCATAATTCAACAGATTTAATCAATTCAATCACTTCAACCAACAATTTATCGGTAATTCAAACATATTGGTGTATCTATCTCAAGACCGGATCCTAGAACCGACGTCTTGATCCAATAATCGGCCGGCTCGCCCATACCCTTCTAGCACAGCGATTGTCACCTTCATATTACAGCAGGCTCTCATCACCTCATCTTCATGTTTTGACCAGCTCTTCAGCGCTGATCTCATAATTTTACGACCGGCCCCTAAGTGTTGTCTTCATGATCTTATGATCGGGACAACCCATCTCCTTTCAGGATGGCGACCATCGTATTTATATATTCTGACCGGCCCCTCACCTAATTACATCACCTTCTCCATGAGTTTGGTGTTATTCCAAGTTCTCCAACAGTTTCTGTGATACTATGAGTGCTACCAATATTTGTGCGCTTTTCACTCTCGCATGAAGCACATTGCATTGATTTTTAATTTTTGCGTGAACAAATACAAAAAATAGGTCTTCACGTCGTTCAGGTTCTTATCAAGGATCAACTTGTTAATTCTCTCACTAAACCATTGGCTCGATCAACAATTATTGCTAACTCATCGAACCAAACTCGGTATTCTTCCCGGACCTCTTTCGCAGGGGGGTGTTACTACTTATTCATGACATTATCAGTTGTACCTATGTTCATCTCTACAAACTAGTTATCTACGTAATATTTAGGATACTATCCGTATATAGTGTTGGAGGTATTGGTCCTACCAAGGCCTCCCTTCCACTTATTATGTTAAGGCCTGCACCCTATGTTTATTCCTACTTCCTACACTGTTACTTATCTAGCTAGCCTGGCTTTTCCTATCCGTTGCCAACTCTTATTGACTTGGTATTATTTGTCTCTTGGCCTCCTGACTTTTGCTAGCCTGTCTCGAGCCCCACCTTTGTTTGTCTTTGACACCCATGAGCAAATAATAGCCTACTATAATTGAGTGCTCCTCTTCCCTTTTTGAGAGATACGGTGAGTTCAATACAGTGAGCTCCTCTTCCTTCCTTTGTGTGGAGTTAGAGTGTGAGGGAGTGGTAAACAAGGTGAGTGGAGTGGCTAAACAATCCTGGGGTGGTGTGTGTGAGTTGTTTTGGTTGGAGACCTGAGCTGAAATACACACCCAACAGTGGTATCAGAGCCGGATTCTGCCCTCCGCCGCCGTCCGTCACCGTCCACCGCCGTACGCCGCCGTCCGGTGGAAGCTCCTGAAAAAATCCGTCGAATCTGAGTTGTGGTTCTCTGTTACTGCTAGAACCTTGCCACTCTGAGAAGTCGTCCCCGGAGGGAGTTGTTTGTCGATTCCGGAGCTTGTCCGCCGTTTGCCGCCGTCCTCCGCCACCAACCGCCGCCGTCTCGCCTTTCGCTCGTTCCTTCGCTGGTCGGAGACTGAAATCGAAATCTGACTGGAGTTCTAAGCTCGGTTTTTAGCCTGAAGTTCAAACCCGTGGCTGAAAACCGCCTGGGATTCGCCGATTGCAGAGGAGTGTTCGCCAGAAATAGCTCGCCGCTCGCCACCACGTGACGCCTGCTGCCGTCCGTCACCATCGAAGTCACCTGTTCACCGTCCGACCGTCGGCAGCTCGACTTTGAACCCCAGGTGCTGAGTTAGCTGTTCGTAGAAAGCAAAGAGACGAAGGTCTGGAGGAGGCACGCCGCAGGGACGAAGAGCACTGTTACGCTATGTTTTTTTGTCCGCTGGGTTGCTGAAGAAGAAGTGGGCTGGACGGGTGCGTAGCTTGAAACCTATGCTTCTGGCTGTTCTAGGCTATTGGGCTATTGGGCTTCTGGATTTCTGGGTTGGACTGCTGAGCTGCTGGATTATTGAGGGCTGCTGGAGCTGGGCTGCTGGACCTGTGCTGTTGGGCTGCTGGACTTGGAGCTGGACCTGGGGCAGAGAAGAGTCTCTGTCAACTGCTCAGTCAAACTCGGTCAACGCCGGTCAAAGGCAGTTAACGGTCAGTCAACAGTCCGAAAAATCCCAATTTTTAAATTGGGTGGGTAAGGTCGAAACGCCTCTCCTAGGGTTTCGCTCCGGTATATTGACTTTTATCCCTTTTATCGCTTTTGTAGTGATTTTTTAGTTTTTTATTGTGTAGAAATTCTTGTTTTAGGTTTAGTACTGCTTTTAAAATTGTTTGAATTGTTGTATTGTGTTGTGCTGAAAATTTATTATTTATTTGTGCTTATACGGAAGAACAAGGGGTTTGAAGTTGAGTTTGGTGCTCATTAATACTCCCCACGTGTTCGTGCTAGTTGCTCCGTATAGTTGTAGCCTTATAAATATTTAAATTGTTTTCAGCGAAATTTACATTTTATTTTGTTGCTTGTTTTTCTCTGTGAAAATGTCTGCTTATAATCAGTATGGTATGGCTCCATTTAATGGAAAATCTGATTTTAGCATCTGGAAGCAAAAAAATTAAATGTATTTTAATACAACAAAAATGTTTTAAAGCAGTTGGCGAAACCTATTTAATTTCTGACACAGAAGAGAAAAGGGCTGAAATGAATGAAAATGCATGTTCTGTGATTTATTTGAACTTATCTGACTCTGTGATTAGAAAAGTTGGAATTTTAGAGAGTGCTAAAATTCTGTGGGATAAATTGAATGAACTGTATACTGAGACCTCTTTGCCTAACCGGATATTTTTACTTGAGAAATTCTTCAAATTTAGACTAGATATGTCTATAGATATTGAAGAAAATCTAGATGTTTTTACCAAACTTATTTCGGATATTAAGTTGTGTGGTGATAAGCATATAGATGATTATTCTCCCATTGCTCTTTTAAATGCTATTCCTGATTCCTTTAGTGATGTGAAATCTGCTATTAAGTATGGTAGAGATAATGTGACTCTTGACATTGTGGTTAATGGTCTTAAGAGTAAGGAATTAGATTTAAAACAGATGGGTGAGGGTAGAAAATCCGAGGAAGTTATGCATGTGAGGGGTAGAGAAAATAATAGTAGACGACATAGATCTAAGTCTAGGTCTAGTTCGAGACGTTGCTATTATTGTCACGAATCTGGTCATTTCATAAGAGACTGTCCTAAATCTAAGAAAAATGAGCATAGTGAGCATGCTAATTTGACTACGTGTGTAGATGATTTAGGTGATGTTTTTATGATGGAAAATCTATGTGATTATGACTATTTGAGTTCTGTGATATCTGATTCATTGGGTAAATCAGATTGGGTGGTAGATTCTGGTTGTACTTTTCATATGTCCCCTTTGAAAAATGTTTTTTCAAACTATAGAGAGATTGAGCATGGCTTTGTGTCTTTAGCAAATAAGAAGAAATGCAATGTGTTAGGAATAGGAGATGTCTGCCTTAGGTTTTCTTCTGGTTATGTGCTTACTTTGAAGAATGTTAGGCATGTTCCCGAGCTGTGCTGTAATTTGTTATCTTGTGCTTCTCTTGAAAATGAGGGTTTGAAGGGAAAATGGGGAAAGGGAATCATGAAAGTTGTGAAGGGTTGTTTAGTTGTTTTCAAAGCTGAGATAAAAAACAACTTGTATGTTTGTCATGCTGAACCCCTACTTGATTCTGTGAATTGTGTGCAACCCTGTGTGCTAGGAAAACAGTCTAGAGTTGGTTTTCCTGATCTGCCTAAGTGTACTAATGTGCTTGATTGTATTCATGCTAACTTGTGGGGTCCTTATGGTGTTTCCACTCATGGTGGGAAAAATTATTTTCTGACACTGATTGATGATTTTTCAAAGAAAGTGTGGGTTTTGTTGATTGAGAATAAATCTGAAGTTTTTGATAAGTTTAAAAACTGGAAAACCCTTGTTGAAAAACAAACCGGTAAGAAAATTAATTTTTTAAGGACCACTGTCAGTTTTGATTTCTGTGATACTCAGCTTGGTGATTTATGTGATACTTGGGGTATTTCTATGCATAAATCTGTTCCCTCCACACCCCAACCGGATGGGGTTGCTGAGAGGATGGTTAGAACTTTATTAGAGAGGGTGAGGGCTATGTTAGCTTCATCTGGGCTCTCTAATAAGTTCTGGGGGGAAGCTATTTGTTATGCTGTTGATTTGATTAATCTGTCCCCGTCTGTTCCCTTAGGAGGGAAATGCCCTGAATCTGTGTTCATGGGCAAACCACTTAACTTGCCAAATTTGAGAGTGTTTGGTTGTGCTGCTTATGTCAATCGTGTGAATGATAAATCTGAACCTAGGACTAAGGAATATGTTTTCTTAGGATATCATGATTGCATGAAAGGTTATAGGCTTTGGTGTAGGAGTGAAACTTGCTTCAATGTGTTGATGAGTAGAAATGTCATTTTTGTTGAAAATGAATTTCCTTGCCTACTTGTTTCTCCTGATGTTGCTCCAAATGAGGTGGAGCATTTGCCTGATGTTCATTCTGATTTACTTGTTGAAACCGAACCCAAATTTGTGGATGAAAATGTTTTTCATGGTGAAACTAAAGAAAATAATATTTCTATTAAGGTGGAACATGATATGAATGTTGTGTGCGATATGCTTGAGTTGCGTAATTGCCATGTTATTAGAGATAGAGACATTAGGAAGCATGAGAGAAATAATATGTGCAATGTGTTTGACTATATTTCCTCTGAGTCTGCTTTAAATGTGCTTAATTCTTTTTTAATTAAAATCTTTGTGATATTTGGTATGCTATTTTCTGTGTGTTTTGAAAATGTGATACCAAGTGATTATGTGAGCTCCGTCTGTGCTAGTTATAGAAATAATATTGTTTCTTTTATTTTCTTTGTAATTGCTTTGTGTGGTTGTTGGATTAGTTGGAATCCCCAACTTCTCCCGGATGCTTGCTTGCGTGGTCTATTAACATGTGTTGTGCTTGTTAATAGTTTTGTGATGGTTTTGGTTCTGAACTCGAGGACCGATTGGTAGAGTTCAGTCCATCGTGAAGTGGGTTTGCACGGTAAGCTTGGTCCGAAAGGGAACTTTGGTTCTCATCTATTACTTGTATGATCGCAATGATGTACTTGTAATGGTTCAGCGATGATGAGTCTCCTCACAACCGTGTATTTGTTACTCTACACCACCTAGGACCAATAAGGTGGAGAATGTTGGAGGTATTGGTCCTACCAAGGCCTCCCTTCCACTTATTATGTTAAGGCCTGCACCCTATGTTTATTCCTACTTCCTACACTGTTACTTATCTAGCTAGCCTGGCTTTTCCTATCCGTTGCCAACTCTTATTGACTTGGTATTATTTGTCTCTTGGCCTCCTGACTTTTGCTAGCCTGTCTCGAGCCCCACCTTTGTTTGTCTTTGACACCCATGAGCAAATAATAGCCTACTATAATTGAGTGCTCCTCTTCCCTTTTTGAGAGATACGGTGAGTTCAATACAGTGAGCTCCTCTTCCTTCCTTTGTGTGGAGTTAGAGTGTGAGGGAGTGGTAAACAAGGTGAGTGGAGTGGCTAAACAATCCTGGGGTGGTGTGTGTGAGTTGTTTTGGTTGGAGACCTGAGCTGAAATACACACCCAACATATAGTGGATCTACTAATTAACTACTTTGTTGGATATATAATGACTAGTCTTTGTACTGCACAAGTGTGCCTGAATGTACGAGAACATTTTATTTTATTAATCCCTACGTAGTATCATTTGATAAAATAAAACAGTGCACCAAGAAATTCGTTTGATGTATCAGCTCCCTGAATGGGCATCCTCCATTATTGCGTAACACACCAAGTCCAGCCGTAATTCCTAAACGCCAAAATGTAGGCGTACGAAGTCATGTAGGCGTTGAATTATGGTGGGCGGGGTTTAGTACAGTATTGGTTTTGGTTGTTGCGAAATGATTTGTGCAGTTAGGTGCACGTGAATGTAGGAGTCCTTTTCTTGGCCTGGGCCGACGCATCACGGGTCGCTTAACTGTTCTTTTTCTTCTTCCCAATCCCGTGCCCGTCGTTTCACAGCTTTGAAGCTTCAACTGGCTCGTAAACTACTGAAGCCCGTACCTTCCGTTTTTTATCACGTGCCTCTGTTCATATCAAAAGATTCAAGATCATTACATCAAGCAAAGGGAAAATAAAACAGACACCAACTAAAACTCCAACAACTACGACTGTAACCCTATGGTGAGACTTTGAGACGGTCACCCCAGAGAGAGGCAAAAAACTAATGTAGCGGGCTTGACACAGTCAAAACTATTCCCATAGATCCAACCATACCCAAAGACATAAAGAGAGACAAAAAACTCAAACAAACTGTCAAATCCAACAACAAAAATGGACGCAAGAAAACAAATAACAAACAGATAAAAACTACAAGAAAAACGTCCACGAACTCTAGCACCTCGTGCATCCCATGGTGGTGGTTCGGGAGGAGGTCGTATCACTGGGACCATGCTAATTGATCCTCCATGACCTTTGGCTGCCAAAGACCACGCATCAATCCTCCGTCCCTGCATAACCAAACCCATCCCTGCTCCGTGTGAACAGAGTAAGCGGATAGGCGGCGCCGATCTTCTCCAAAGACGATAGCAACGCCGCATCCTCGAACCTTGACCACAGCGCCGATCTCCTCGAGCCATGATAGCAAATCTGCCCTCCTCCACCGATCTCCGCCCTCCGCGTCTAACCTGGACTCCAGTCGAGCACCTGCGACCAAGGGATAACAAAGCCGATCTTCGACAAAGTCGAAATCGGAAAAAGGTTCCAGCGGCCGACATAGTCAAAGCCCTAGAGAGAAAAACTCGTGATCGCTCTACCTTAGCCAAAAGCAGACCACTGCTCCGCGGCCAGATATGCGAACAAGAACAGCCGAACTTCGATCAATATGATCGAATTCGGGAAAAAACCTAGAGGCGGCTGTCCTAGGAGAAACGATCTGCGCTCCCTGAAATAGGAGATGTTACACCATCGATTGTCCTTTTCGCACAGGGGCAACAATCTTTCTCGGTATCAATCTTACACGGGCTTCTCAGCCTCTATCATTCCCCGTACCTTCCGTTATAAAATTGGGGGTATATATCGTTCAACTTTGCTAGACTATTTTTTTTGTATCTGTGAATTCTGTCTATAGACAAAATTGACAGTTACAGACTATATAACGGTAGAATTAAATTATATAGCTAGATCAATTGGTTTGTGTTGATGACTAGTTAAATGCCAAAATCAAGGATTTAACACAGTGATGCTATATAGTAGGATATATTATACAGAGGAAATGTCAATTGAGTACATCATCTTGTATGAGGTGAAGTTAAGAACACATTATATTGCATTTGACATTCGTTAGTATATAAACTCAGTTATTTCGTGTTAGTTGAGTACACTTATAAGATTAACACGTTAATGTGGATGAGTTGGCTAATGGAATGCTGAGTAAGAAACGATATTGGACCAAGGTTATGGCGCCGATCTTCACAAAGTCGACCAAAAAGGGAAAATTGATTTTCAGAGATCGACCTGCGAGGGACGTCAGCCAACAGGGGTGCATCAACTAAGAGGAAGTCGACTTTCCGGGGACTGACGTCGACCAAAGGTCTGGGGCTGGCGTCAACCTTCAGAAAGTCAACGTATTAGCATTCTATTAGCCAACTCGATCATATTAACGTGTTAATCTAACGTAGACCTGGACTCGAGTCGGGTGGTCCGACCCGGAACTGACACTGTTCCGGTCTTTGCCAGGCCTGGTGGCCCGGTCAATGACCAATTCGGGTAGGCCCGACCCGCTGGGGCTTCGGTCCGGGCTCGGCCCCCTCAAAACGTGAACCGGCCTGGCCGGTTCGGGCCCAGTTCAGACCATTTTTTTTCTTTTTTTTTTATTGAATTTTTTTAAGTTTTTGGGGTGGGAGTTGGGACGGTTATTTTGGGTCATTTGAGATGGTTTGGGATGGTTTGGGGGTGGGGGGTGTAGGGGTTAATTAGGAAAAGACAAAAAAAAATGAACTGAGGCCCGGCCCGACCCAGACTAGTTCCGGGCCTCCCCTTTCATGAACCGAGGCCCGGACCGGCCCGAGTCCACCCCTAATCTAACGAGTGTATTCAATTAATACTAAAAAATAAATTTTTTGTACTTACAAAGATCATATACAATATAATGCACTCTTTACTCCACCTCATACATATTGATGTGCTTAAATGACATTTAGTCACTTATCTCATATTATACATGATGACTGATGATAATACTTAACTACTACCCCACCGTTGAGAGCCAGAAATGCAATTTGCCCCCGAGTAGGAAATGCCAAAGGGGATAACTATTAGCCAACTCGATCATATTAACGTGTTAATCTAACGTAGACCTGGACTCGAGTCGGGTGGTCTGACCTGGAACCGACACTGTTCTGATCCTTGCCCAGCCTGGTGGCCCAGTCAATGACCAATTCGGGTAGGCCCGACCCGCTGGGGCTTCGGTCCGGGCTCGGCCCCCTCAAAACGTGAACCGACCTGGCGGTTCGGGCCCGGCCGGTTCGGACCCGATTCAGACCATTTTTTTTCTTTTTTTTTTTATTGAATTTTTTTAAGTTTTTGGGGTGGGAGTTGAACGGGTATTTTGGGTCATTTGAGATGGTTTGGGATGGTTTGGGGGTGGGGGGGTGTAGGGGTTAATTAGGAAAAGGCAAAAAAAAAAAATGAACTGAGGCCCTGCCCGACCCGAACTAGTTCCGGGCCTCCCCTTTCATGAACCGAGGTCCGGACCGGCCCGAGTCCACCCCTAATCTAACCCGAGTCCACCCCTAATCTAACAAGTGTATTCAATTAATACTAAAAAATAAATTTTTTGTACTTACAAAGATCAAATACAATATAATGCACTCTTTACTCCACCTCATACATATTGATGTGCTTAAATGACATTTAGCCACTTACCTCATATTATACATGATGACTGATGATAATACTTGATGGAAATGCAATTTGCCCCCGAGAAGGAAATGCCAAAGGGGATAAGTGACTTTATTCAATGGCAAAGGAATTGTTCACACAAGCTATAAGAAGGTTAGCAATTAAGCACATAATTATCTTTCTAAAATTACGAAAAAACAGTAACTTTAATCTGGTGGCGCTGGAGCAAAACCTTCACACAAGGATCACCAGAAGGAACTTTTTGCAAGGGTTTCAAATTTTCAATACACAAAAACATGGTTCATCTGAGCTGTCTTGACTCATCACTAAACTTGGAAATAACAAACAATTCAGGTGAACTGCCAGGTTCCCTTAATTATAGATATATTAGATGTATAAAACGCTGGCTGGCTTTTCACTATTTAGGACCACCACCACCGATATCCTTCACTGCGTTAATCTGCTCTTCTCCCATTGCAGCCATGACTGACACTATAAGATCCTTCCCTTCTTTAAATCCATCTTGGATCTGTACAAAAGCGAAACTCATGTGAGAAAACCATTTTGAGTTTTATTTTAGAGATATTACCCAAAATTGGACTAAAAAAGTTTGAAAATTCCAAAATATGACTGTCATGTTTTTATTCCCAAAATAGGACTAATTACTGCCATGTTTTGGCAGTACCAGATGATACGCATGTAATTTCCGTGTGTATGTTTATGTTATTAGCTAGTTTTGATTGTTTAATATTTCAGAAATTACAGACTTTTGGTGTAATAGTTATGTTTGTAAAATAGTTGTAATATGTTTAGATTAGGATCATTCTGAGCTTAACCAGGTCCAAATGATCATTGGTGAAAGAAGATGCAATAGTACAAGACAAAAAGAAGGCAAATTCCTTATTTTTGACCCGTACTCGGTCGAGTATAGCATATACTCGATCGGATACCACTTGAATTTTCAATCAGATCAATCACGAAACAAAGGGACGTGCAGGGGAAGATTTGGCCACGATCAGTTGTCACACCCAATCGGGTACACCGACATACTCGATCGGGTATGCCTATAGTTTTTACACTGAATTCGATCGAGTATGTCTCGGATTGGAATTTCTACACATACCCGATCAAGTACCTAAATGTACTCGATCGGGTACCCGAGTTGCACCCCTTAAAAGCCTATAAATACACCTCCCTTCCTTCACAATTAGATACAAATTCCTTTATACACTTCCATTTCTTGACTTTGCTCTTGAAGCTTGTTGATTATTAAAGTTGTGAGTTATTTTCTTAACTTCTTCTCTTGATTATTAATTCTTCCCTTAATCTCATTCTATATTAATATTGGAGGGTTGCTAAGTGACGATTAGTTAACGTTCCGACATTGATTATTACTAGAAACGATCAACAAACCGATGGTTAATCGTTGATAGTTTCACAAGTAACTTCGGTTTATTAATGCACGGTCGTGGTTAATAAACTTAAGAGGGATTAATTTTGTTGGTCAAACCGAAACCGTTGTGTTGAGGTTATCAATCTCAATTGATTTTATCAAGGAGTTAAAAAAGATTAAATGCTACTATTATATCGGTATACGGCGTTGTTCTATATTTGATTAATAGTAAGGGTTATTAATGAACGGCGTTGTTCTACCTCGATGAATTAGATATACTCCTCGATTGAGCACTCGAGAGGGGATAAGTTATAGATATAACAATGATCGACTAAAATATATCAACAAGTGGAAAGTAGCAAGACCAAGTCCCTTTTATTCTTGAATTTAATCTCATATAAGTCGTTCATCTTTGTGTTTAAATTAAATCAAATCATTCAACCCAAAACCCCCCTTTATTTATTCCTTTCGTTAAAAAGATAATTATTCCTTTCCCTGTGGATACGAACTCTACTTCACCTATACTATGTATAAGTGTTAGTATCAATTCATTTTGACGCACCGTGACAAAGTGCTCGTCACCAGACTTCAAACATGACAGTATTTTCTAAACTTGGCAGTAATTACTCCTATTTTGGGAATAAAAAACATGGCAGTACTATTTTGGAATTTTCAAGCTGTTTTAGTCCTATTTCGGGAACTTTCCGTTTATTTTATTTAACGCAAAAAAAAAGAACACATATTCCTTTGAACTGCTCTACTATTTGGGCATAAAGCCAAATTTGTTCCACTTTACAATTATGTGTTCAATTGTTCCAAAAGAAAGTTGGAGCATATATCCATCCCTCAATGGTATATTTGTTCTTTCTCCCTTTAATCTTTTCCTACTATGCAACAACTAGCAAGTAAAACCATATTACCTGCTTTAACAGACCATCATCCGTGGGAAGCTTCAGGTCATCTTTGGTACTTCCACTTTCTGTGAGAAGAGAGACCTAAACAATCACAGCAACACAATAGAAATATTTTTAACAGTTCGAGCATAAATACAAGAACAAAACCAATCAAGTGCTCCATAATATTCTATCGTCTTACTATCTTTTTACCATCTTCATTTTTAATCTATGCCAGTAAGTTCGTATAATATCTGAGTGTTTCTACTTCATTCTTACTTGATCATACTCGCACTTTACAATTTTAATATCAAACATATTATTCCATTTTATTAATAAAAAACAAGCTATATGATTCTTGAGTGGCAAAGAGCCTTAAATGATGATAACTTTTGTGTATTATTGACAACAGGAGTTGACCAAAATTTGTCTGGAAGAGCAGTTGTGGAAGAAGTGCCTTTGGTGACTTACTAATTATAATACATGCTATAAAATAGTAATGTTACACCCAATTACTTGAATATATAACGAAAATGATACAAAACGCAAGTTACTGGTCAAGTTGCCTGGTTTGTACTCAGAAAGTGGCTCGTATCATTTTTGTTAGACATTATTTTTTATGAGTGATTGTTGGTATTTTTTCATGTTATATTGTCTTTAAAGAAATATGCATATTTAAAAGGATTTTCCAAATTTAAAAAAATTGGCATTTAAATGAAAATATAAAATAATACTACGTATAAATATGCTTTTCATTTATGCATTTATGTTCTACAAAAAAATGCCAGGTACGCAATACCCTTAATTTCCATCTTCTTTACTAAATTTGTCTAAAGCACCAAAAAGTTCAGAATTAATGGGTGTCTTACAAAACCATCTTCAGAGATGTCAATAAGTTGATAGTCAACACGATTAACATGTGGCACCTGAAGAAAAAGAGTAGAGTCATGAGACAAATCATTCTTTGTCAATTGTAACACAACAAAATACATAGAAAAATGAAAAGAAGTAAAAAACAAAGATGAATTACATCACAATTGTGAGATGAAGGAACAATATCTTCGAGCTTCTTCCCATTGAAAATATCAATTCCCACGAAATGGCATTTGGCGTGCCCATGCTTGCCAGTTTTTGAGGTGGAGACCTCAACAACCTTTGGAAATAAAAAATTATCACCCGGTAAAAATATTCTTCCATAGAAAGCGGCAACAATTAGCAGAGAAGTATCAATAACTTAAGGTGCTGAAGTTTTCTACATTACACTGAACAAAATATATGATTGATAAACCATGATAACTGTCTGAACTGCAGTGATGCATACTTACCTTATAGTGTGTTCCATCTTTTTATTGCGAGTGTGTTTCATCTTTTAAATACCAGGAAAAAAAGAACAAGATAGAGAAACATGATGTAAATATATACTTACTTTTTAAAAAACCAATTGATGAATGTAAAATGTGCTCCGACAGAACACCATTACTATGGCTTTATGATGTAAAACAAATTTTTTAACTCAATGATGTCAAATTTAACACTGAAATATGCTAAATTTATATAATTGCTTTCAAAACAAGAAATTATTAAATGAAACTCTACACAAAAGTGGGGCTTTATTCAAGTGGTAAAACGTCCACTAAGGGTCTTATTATACGTAGGACTAAGAGCCAATAGTGATATGTTATCACAAATAACAGAAGAAATAATTAATCTACTCATTTAAAACCTGATCAAACCTCTTTATTATCCAAAACTTACATTTTGACTATTAACTATTAAGGGGGTCAGCCATCCTTTTCCAATAACATTTCAATTTTCAAGGTAGAGAAAAAAACATTATTATATACCGGAGTACCAACCAACAGTGAGAAAAATCTCAATCCTAAGAACCCAACATTAAAAATTGAAGTAAATGACTACCTACTGTTCCAGTGCAGAGAATGATGCTTTGGGAGTTTTTAATATAATGTGAACGAAGAATGACTAAGTAAGGTAAATTTCGAAGGGGAAAATCAAATGAGCACCCGACAAAACACTGTACTTTAATGTGGAAGATTAAGGGTGTACAAATTTTCCTCCAAAAAAAGAATCAAATTTTCACATCCACTACAATAAATTATCAGTTTCCAGATGAGTAACGGATTGCAGATTCCTCGTGATACATAAAATATATCCATTTTTCATAGATAGATTACACACAGAGGCGAATCATGCGATAACCTAAAAGAGTTTCAGATCTGGAAATTGGGGGGATATTTAATATCAATATCAGAAACCTATGAAAGAGATTAATCAGCTATCAGGTGGAAACCATGATGAATCTATCAGAGGCAAAACGCATATCTGCAGAAGAATATAAAGAAGACCTTGCAAGGACGGTTTTTAATGACTATATAGCCATTCTTGCGGATGGTTCCAGCTTGCTGCGGGTAGGTCTTGGATGCCCCTGCATCTCCCTTCGCCTCGAATTGGTGCTCCTCGTCCGACATGGCCGCTGGCTTTTCCTCTCACTAAGCACTGATCTCTCTCTTTCTCGAAAGAAGTTCGGAGAGAGAAGAAAAGGACCCGTTTCAGATAAGTATGACTACTACAAATATCAAACTCATATTCGGATTCCCTTTTTGCCCAGATAAGTTATATGGGCTTTATTTGTTTTTATTTGGACTCCACAAAAGCATAGTACATGGATCACCAGTCCGAGATACTTTACCATAAGCACGGTTTAGACCTGTACAAAACCGGCCCGGCCCCACACGGCCCGCCCGGCCGGCCTGCACAAATGGGCGGACTTAGGCATATATAGTTACCCACCGGTCCGGCCTGAGCCCAGCCCACAATAACATATGGGCTGACTTGGGTTAGGGTGTAGACCCGTTCGGACCGATAAGCTCAGCCCGCTAACATATGGGTTGTCTTACTTTTCTTTTTGAGTTGTCTCAAAATAGATGTTCTGTTTCCCTTTTCGGCAAGAAATTTGTAGTTCATGTTATTTCCATTTATTCTAATTAAATTTCAACCACAACTTTTACTTTTCAACCACTTTATTAATAACCGTGCCAAATTGAAATGAGACAACCATTATGGGACGGAAGTAGTACGAAATATGGAGTACATTTTTACAATTCATTTCCATCCGTAAAGTAATGACTATAGATCTTTCCATTTGTAAATATTTTCATCATGTCCTCAATAACGTCGAAAATAATACATTTCTCATCATACTTTTAATAATTTATAATCCTTCTGTCTCTAATAATTTTGCCAAGTTTGACCGACACATGGATTAATAAAGTAAAAACTGTGTGATTAATGTTTGTGCAGAGGAGAGATAATTAACTGGAACCACAAATTCTTTACTTAAAAGGGAAAGTGGCAAAGTTAATGGGACATCTAAAAGGGAAAGTTGACAAAATTATAAGGGACGGAGGGAGTATCTTTTTTCACTATTCATAATCTACCTACTTCTATAACACTTAACATACTCATTACAAATCAATTTATTCATAAAAAGCTCGTTTGGTAACATTGAAATTGACTGAATTAGTTGATTCTGCTGAAATTTATGAAGTTTTGATTGAAGTGGTTGTATTAGCTGATTTTGCTGATTTATTAAGGAATTATTATATTTAAAATATTTTTTTATATTTAAAATATATTTTATGAATAAAATATTATAAAATTATATGAAAGAATAGCCAAAATGGTCATCTACAGTCAATCAATACAGCTAGAAAGGTAACTTTAACCTTACTTTTTCTTATTATTACACAATTCAGCGCGTGAAATCAAGAATTACGTGTTAGGTTAAAAAGTTGGACGATAAGCGTGATAAGCCTAAAAAAAGAATCACCAAACGGGCTCTAAGTATACCAAACAGGCTCTGAGCATATTCATCCTTCAATATCATCTTTTAGACATTATACAGTTCTATAACCAACACATGTAAGACATTTCTTGTGTGAGGAGCCTATTCTCAAAGTCATTGGTCATACTCTAATCGCCCTTATCCCTAAGGAACCCAATGCTTACCAGTTTTCAAAATTCCGCCCCATCAGCCTAAGCAATTTCATTAACAAATTTTTTACTAAAATTATTACCATTAGAATTTCCTCCCTTCTTCCTAAAATTATATCGATTGAACAAACGACTTTTCAAACAGTGGGACCCCCCCCTCCCCTATTTTGTTTATTATTGTGGTTGAGGTTTTAACTAAAAATCTGAATAGTCTTTTCAAGAATGGCTATGGTACTGCTTTTAAAACCCTCCCTGGTATGCCAGTTGTTAGTCATTTATCCTTTGTTGATGATCTCATTGTTTTTTCTAATGCTGAAAAAAACATGCTCCGTGCTCTTAACAAAGTTCTTACTGATCATGAGAATTACTCGGGGCAACTTATTAGCAAAGATAAAAGTTTCTACCTCATTTCTAAGCATGCCAAGCCTCACAACTATAATATTGTCAAAGAGATTTTCAACATAAAAAAAGGTTCTTTTCCCTTTACTTACTTGGGGGCTAATATTCATACTGGCAGAACTTTAAATAGACATTTTGACGATATTTTGACTAAATTTGACAATAAGTTGGCAGGTTGGAAGCAGAAGCTACTTTCTGTTGGTGGTAGAATTGTTTTGATTAAACATGTCCTTGGCTCCCTCCCCCTTTATCACATGACTGTTTCTCCCATCCCCAATAATGTTATTCTCAAAATGGAGAGAAAACTTTCTAATTTTTTGTGGGATAAAGGTGATGATCATAATAGGAGAATCTGGCGAAACTTTTTTAAATGTTGCTACCCTGTAACCGAGAATGGTTTGGGATTTAGGAGCCTCCAACATATCCAAAAGTCTTTCTTCCTGAAACTGATGTGGACACGAGAGAATGGTATTGGTTTATGGGCCACTTGGGTTAACTCCCTCAAAGATGATAGCAGGTCTGTGATGTATAATTCTATTGAAAACATTCAGCCTATTTTTTACAGTAATTGTAAGTTGCAGGTTAATGATGGTTCAAGCTCCTTCTGGTATTCCAACTGGAGCGACAATGGCCCCATATACCATTTCCAGGAGGTAATCCCTCCTTCTCTTGAAAGTCTTACCATTTTTGAAGCTTTTTATCATGACGCATTGATCCGTCCCGTCCAAAACATCCTGCCCAGATACATTATAGATCAAATTCATGCCATTTCTATTCATTTTAGTGATACCGTTGATAAACTCGTTTGGCAACCGAATAGTAATGGTAAATTCACTTTTAATAGTGCCTATGATGTAATTCACCCTAAAATAAATCCGAATACTGATGCTAATTTTATTTGGAATTCTCGGATTCCAAAAAAAGATTTCTTTCTTTGTATGGTGCCTGAATAATAATCTCCTACCCTTTGCTGATCAGCTCAGCCAAATGGGTATTTGCGGTCCCTTCAAATGTCCTTTATGTCAAAACAGGGATACTAAAGACCACTTCTTTTTGGTTTGCAAGTTTAATCATGCAATCTGGACCTATTTTGAAAACATCCTTGATTTTCGCCCCCCTCATGATAGCATTGGCAACTATACGAAGCGCTGGTACAACGATTATAATGGCCCCTTTAGATATTGTCAATGCCCTCCCAAATATCATCATTTGGCATATTTGGAAAAATCGTAATACCTTCCTTTATGATGACAAAAAGGGCACTTACCTGAGGCTATAAACGCTATTAAAAATGAGTTATTTGCACTATCGGTTGCCAAACCGTTTATTACTACCACCCCGCACCCCCCCCCCCCCCTTTAACACCATTACCATCCGGCCCAAGAATAGTAGCAGAAGACCCTCTTCTAATCATTGGCACAAACCTCCGGCAAATTACCTCAAAATCAACCTCGCCTCCCGCAACCTTAGACCCAACCTCATTTGTACTCTGGCCCTTGTATGCAATGCTTTTGGGAACTACATTACCCATTTAACCAAGATCGATAAGCACTCTGACCTTTCTCTTGCTCTTTATGATATGATTATTACTATTGCCTCTCATAATTTCAATAATATTATTCTTGAGACTGATAATAGAGAGGTGAAAGACAGTATCATTGGCCGCTCCCTTCATCACTAGAAATATTGGTCCCGCATTCGCACTATCAAAAAGAAATTCTGAGATGTCAATTGGACCATTCAAAACATCACTACGGAGGTCAATAAAGCTGCTTATTTCTTTTCTTACCGTTACATCTCTATCCAAACCAAAACTCATCATTTTAACCAGTTTGTTGGTATTCTTAAATTTGATGCAATTAGTTATCCTTACGTTATGTAATGTTTTTTTGTTAGTAGGCGTTGGTATAGTCCTCCTACTCATTGTACTCTTTTTTATTCAATAAACAAAAAAAATATCGGTAAATAAGTGCAGCAAAAATACAACTATAGGTAAATGTAGCTACTAGTAGAAATGAAAGTGTAAATAAAATTTTAGAACTAATTAAATGGCAAGTATAACAGTTTTTGAACCAATTATTAAAAAACATACAGTTTTTGTAATAAATATAAATACAAATATTAATTTGTTATTAATTAGTAGAGAATTAAAGAATAACAATAATACTATGACTAATGATCAATGGTCAATTAAAAAAAAATCATATTTTAAAATTTGATTTACTCGGTTTAGTTCGATTTGAAAGGCAGAAATCCAAACAAAAGCAAATAATTATGATTCGATTTTTATTAAATTTTCGACGGTTCAATTTATTTTGGTAGCACGCTTCTAGAAATATAAGATAAGATGATTGTAGTGAAAATTTATTACCTTCCCTAATCATGTGCACGTTTTAAAATTGAGAAAATTACTTATGTATGAGTGAAAGTCCTATATACAAGTCCTAGAAATTTGTTCATGTAAAGAGAAAAAAACAAACACACATACTCCTAAATAGGAGTAACTTATGTTCTTATAAAGTGCAAAAAACATACATACTCTTACTCTTATTTGTACATTTTTCTATTGTTCTATTGTTCTTATGAATTGCAAATTCAATTAACGCACACTTTACCAAACTTTATCTACGTAAAAAGTATTATTGCAAGTTATATGGGTTGTATATAACTTAATAGAATGGTGAAAGAACTTTGCGTTAAGAGCCCATTTGGTAACACTGAAATTGATTAGATCGGCTTATTCTCCTGAAATTTATGAAGTTTTGATTGAAGTGGCTGGATCAGCTGATTCCGTTGATTTATGGGAAAAAAATTATTTAATTTCTTTTAGTAATAAAATAAATAAAAAAATTATACTCCGTATGAAAAATTAGTTAAAATGATCCTCTACAGTAACTTCAACCAATATACCCAGAAAAGTAACTTCAGTCGTACTTTTTCTTATTATTATACAACAATTCAGCGCACGAAATCAAAATTACGTGTTTAGTGAAAAAGTTGACTCAAAAGCCATGGTTACCAAACGGGCTCTAAATACTAAAAGAGTAGGACCTTCAATTTTGATGGGCCAGTGCGAATGAACGGCTTACACAGCCCTGGGCAGGCCTTGCCACCAATACTAGTGAAACATGAATAGTTATCAGTTATGTTGTTCTTGTTTGAAGGGGCCTATTTAGAGAACATAAATTAGGAGTCTTCATTTTGTACCAACTAAAGTTCATAGGATGAAAACTTTGGCAAAATACTCCAATTGTTTTCCAATTGTTTGTGTGAAGATTCAATATTAGAAAGTTAGAAGTGCTATCATCTCAATATCAAGCATAAACACAGAGGACACAGCACTAAAGCTCATATATTTTCCAGTCTGTCAATGAAAAGTGAAAACCAATCCCAAATATATGTGAAAATTTAAGAGGGAATCCAACTGCACTTTCAGAAAGCAGCATTTAATAATTCATTCATTTGATTAAAAATTAGGAACTTAGCTTATCAAATTAAAGGTCAAGATTCCCTCTTGATCTCCTGAGAACAAGAGGGTCCAAATCCATGAAGAAGCAAGTCAAGCGAAGTTCTTGAATTTGCTGTACATTCTCCTACAGGGAACCCAAAACATGAAAAAGACCGTGAAAGAGGATAAAATTATGAAGTTCCAAACTTGCTCTCATTGTGTTGTCACACTATGGATGTCCTTGAGAAGCCCAACCACCTGTTGCATACTTGGCCTCTTTGAATGAATCTCAGCCGTGCATAAATAACCAATCTTCAACGCTTCTTCCATCTCTATTTCCGGTCCGGTCCCAATGATTTTGGGATCAATGGCTCTTAGTCCCTGGTTTTTCCTTATCAACCCTCTGACCCAAGTGACCAAATCACCCTCTTTCTGGTCTGGATAAATGTCCCCAATGGGGCTTTTACCCGTGATTAGCTCAAACAGAATGACACCAAATCCATAAACATCAGATTTTGGGGTAGGCGTCGTCTCGGGTACATTAAACTCGGGAGGGACGTATCCAGGAGAACCACGGACAAGCCCATCCTCAAGACTGTCACCAAAAATCTTAGCCAGCCCAAAGTCCGAAAGCTTCGGTTCAAGATTAGAGTCAAGATAGACGCTACTAGCCTTGACATCTCTATGTATGATGGGGGGTGAGCATCCGTGGTGGAGAAAAGCAAGTGCTCTCGCAGTCCCAATTGCAATTTTATGTCTGAATCTCCAAGTGGTCAACAACCCCTCTGACCTCACATTCCGAATGTCGTTACCTTCCTCGTCGTCCCTTTCCCACGTGTCGGTGCTCCAATCTTCGGGTGTGTGTACCCCACCAAGCGGGAGATCGTAAAGGAGATCATGCAAATTCCCATTCTCCATGTAATCATATACAGCGATTCTTTGGTCACCCGCCAAGCAGTATCCAGTGAGGGCAACGAGGTTTGGGTGTTTGATACGCCCGAGGTACTCAAACTCCCTTGCCGCTTCTTGGTTAGTCAGGGTCGAGCCATGAACCAAAACCTTGATTGCCACGTGGGTACCACCAGGTAGGAATCCTCTGTAGACGGGCCCGGACCTCCCTTCGGCCAACAATGTCCCTCGGTCAAAATTAGAAGTGGCAGACAATAGGTCAGAAAAAGTCAAGTTCAACAATGGCTTCTCAAAGATAACCACCGGAACAGAGTTCGGTTGTCTCACGTCGGCTACCCAAACAGTCGAATCGGTCCGGAAAGAGAACGGGCCTGGGGATACTATCTGTTCTTGGTCTTCCTTATAAGAAGATGCCTGTTTCACAGCCCACTTGGTAGGCTTACCACGACGACACCCAATGGCTAAAAACATCAACCCGAGAAGTGTAAAAACCATAGAAAAGGTTAAAACCAAAGCTAGTTTTAGTGCCCAACGGTTGCGCCCTTTGCCTTTGAAAAGAGAGGGATCGGCTGCAATGGGACATCCGTTTGATGACCCGATAAAAGAAGAGTGAAGGGTATTTTGGGGAACTTGAGAAGCACAAAACGTCACATTGTTGTACGAGAAGTTGAACCTAACCATCGAGGGAAGTATCTCAACAAGAGGTTGAGGGATTTCCCCACTCAAATTGTTGTACGAAACATCAAGAACTTTCAAACCACTGAGTGAAGAAAGGTCACCCGGGATCTCGCCAATTAAATTTGTGGCAGACAAATTCAGATACTCCAGACGAAGCATATGAACATGTGGAAACTGCTGACGGGAAAATCTGTTGTGAGCAAGATTCAAGTGTCTGAGATTCTTAGCGTTATCTTTTAACTCAGAGAAAATTTCTCCACTCAACTGGTTCTCAGATAGATCCAAATAAACCAGATTAGACCAACTAATGTTTACCTGAGAAATATGACCTTGAAACTGGTTTCTGCTCAGGTCAATCACCTCCAATGGCCCGCCAAAAATGCCAACCACAGAACCCTTGAACAGATTCCCAGAAACATTTAGATACACAAGTGATTTCATTCCGGACATATCAGAATATTTCCCCATAATCCTATTTCCTGCAAGATTCAAGAACCGGAGATCCGGAAATGAAGAACCAAAACCATCCCACAAAGAATCAGTGAGTTTGTTTCCAGAAAGATCGAGAGAAACCAGTGAGTGGAAATTCCTGATCCCAGAAGGAATCTTTGAGTCGAACCCATTTCTGCTTAGATTAATAAACTTCAAACTTGTGAGGGAAATCATGGCTTCTGGTAAGCCACCTGAGAAATTGTTTCCAGAAAGATCCAATCTTTCAAGATTAGCAAAGTTTCCAATGTTATTAGAGAGAAGCCCAGAGATTCTGTTGAAGGAAAGGTTAAGCGTTTTCAAAGAACTCAAACTCCAGATATCAGAAGGCAAACCGGTGAGCCTATTGTTACTTAGATCCAACATCTCAAGCATTGTGAGTTTCCCAATGGTATTCTCTGGGACCAAACCAGATAGACCCAACCCAGAAATCATTAGCTTTACAACTCTTTGGTCCTTTACATCACAGATCACACCTTTCCAATAACAGAAATTTCCAGAAAATGAGTCAACTTTGGAAGTGTTGGAATTCAATCCCATAGCTTTCAGGAAACTATGGATAAAGAACCCATCAGTGTTGGGTTGCTGGCTCACTACTTGGGTTGTAAAACACACAAGAACAAAAAACGAACCAATAATCCAGGCAAAAACCATCGGAGAAGTAGGCGCCAAGCAACTTTTCCTTAAAAGGGATTGTTCCAACCAACCCCTCAAAGTATCTTTCCTCATACTTCCGTTACCCTTCTCTCAAGATTTATAGTCAGTGATAAAAAACACTAGTAGAAATTCCACATGCTAACACCAACATCAAACTGTAACAATAAAAATCAAATCTTGCGCAGTGCTTTTGATCCTTAACCAAAGAAAGTGGCACACAATTGTAAACCTGTAGTCTATGAGAAGAAGAAAAAGTAGGAAAAAAAAAATTACGGGATAATATTATGAGGAACTTCAGAATCAAAGAGAGAAAAGAATGAGTGTAAATAAGAATTTACCCTTCTCCCAAAATCATGAATGTCTGAAGAACCCAACAGACAGTAGAACATTTTTCTGTGTTTACAAGACAGGAAGCTCCAAAATTCTCAGAACATCCCCTTTTTATTGAAAAAAGAACATCCTTCGTAAACCTTGAATGAAGAATGGGGAGAATCAGGGAGAATGCAAGACTACTACGGAGTATATTTTTATCATTTTAATCAATTTCTTTCCATATGAGAAATCTCGGAAAATGGGGAAGGAAAATTGACAATAGCTACTCGAAAAGTTGGGTGGATGGTATTAAAACTTGGTTTGGTTCATAAAGTTTGGTTCATAAATGAGAAGGAATGAAAGAAAGGGGGGTTTGGAGGTGATGATTAATGAATTTGGCACAGAGATGTTGGGGGGAAATAAATGATTCTTCAGACTTCAGTCTTGAATGTGTGAATGAATATATGGTCTTGAAAATCTTGACTTTGGCCAAAATATTAAAGGGCAGAAAAAACTTTCCAACCCAAAATCTCAAAAAATAAAGACCTGAATGCAATAATTATTTATTTAATATTCAGAATATTCTAAAAGAAAAATCATCCGAATAATTTGTACTCATTCATACTCCGTATATATTACGCCATAGTACAATCAAAAGTTTACTATAAACACCGTATATTTTAAAAGTTTCCTTCTTTCAATCAAAAGTTTCAGTTTTTATTTCCTCCTGCCTTCCAACAAATGCAGTTTTGCTTAAAGTAAGCTAATATCATCATACCCAGTAATATAGTACGGATTATTATTTAGATGGAAGCAGTACGGAGTATTTAGAAAATAATTTTTGATTAGCATTACACAGCAATGATACAAATTAAAAAAACATTAGCATGACTTATAAGAAAAATAAGCATCAAGTGACAGCTAAAAAGATGAAATGCCGGCTCCAATTTCTAATTTCTTTGTTATGTCACTATCATTACGATTTACGAAGCTCTAAATGTCATTTTTGCAAATTCAAATATTGAGAGCCCGTTTGGTTGCACGAAAATCAGCTGTATTGGCTGATTCTGCTTATTTAAGAAAAAAATATTTTTAAAATATATTTTATTAATAAAATAAAGAAAAAATTATATGTAAAAATAGCTAAAATGGTCATCTACAGTAACTTCATCCAATGCAGCCAGAAAAGTAACTACAATCTTACTTTTTCTGCTTATTACACAATTCAGCGCGCAAAAGCAAAAATTACGTGTTTGGTGAAAAAGTTGGTTGATAAGCCGAAAAAACAGTGTTGCGGCAAAAGTTGCCCAATGTAATACCTGTCGTGTGGTCATACCTCTGTTACTCTGGTCGACTAATATTTAGCATTAGTGTCTGATGTGGAACTCATTTTTCATTATTAATTAGTAGTCCACAAATAATTTTAAATTGTATAATAATAAAAATAAATAAATTTAAAATGATATTTTAGTTGAGTTTGTTGAAAATGATTATTTTAATTATTTAAACATCTTTTTGACTGGTAGTTATTTTTACATATGATAAATCTTCTTTTTTTAATGGAACATATGATAATTCTTGTTAGTAATAGAGTATATGTAGTATTTTAAATATGAATTTAATAACTCAGTAAATATGGTCAATTCAACTAACTTAATCACAGTTTCACAAATTCCAACGCATTCTATTGATTAATCCAATTTTAATGAACAGAGATGGCGAAAAGAAGCAGCGAAGAAAGAGAAGATGAAGCTTGCGCCGCCGTCTCAGGTTGTCGACGTTGTACTGGTGGTCTCCATCTGCTTCGATGGCGTCGCGATGGTGGTGGACTCATGGTCGGTGATAAAGGTGAGAAGCAGGGACGGTGAAAAGGGACGGTGAAGAGGAGAGAAGAAAGCGGAAATGCTTGGTCGCGTTAAAACTTAGAAGGGAAAGAAGCTAGATAAGGTAGCGAAAGAGTTAAGATGGTTACATTTTTGTCCTAATGAGATTTACTCATATTTGTGTCCACACAAACTATTAAATCCTGATAGTACCAAATATTGTACTCCGTATAAGGGCATCCTCATTGGTATGGTAGGATTATTATGAGATTAAATTGGTGACATGACAGTTTTTTTTTGGGAATTATCATTGAGTGACATAGATTGTTTAATGGGATTATTTGCTACAATAATCTGGGATCAAAATATGAATCCGGATTATTTTAAAATTATTTGAAAAAGTATATGTAATAGAGATTAATGCAGGACATAGAAAAAACAGATTATTTGAAGATGATGATTGAAAGACATAAACGAATTTTGAGATTATTTTAAAATTAATTACATAACAATATTTAAATGGTAAGAATCATAGGAAAAATTGATTATTCTCGATCATGGATGGAGATGCTCTAAATGATGACTTTTTTCGTAATATTGAAAGCACCATCCCCTTATTTAGGCATTCGTTGTTCGGTTTTTCATCTGATTCATATTACCATTTTTGAAAAGTATTCATATTACCATTTGAGTGAATAGTGATTGATGAACTAAACTTGTAGCTGGAACTCAATTTCTTGTATGATGTCATGCTTTTAATTTCTAATTTTGTTCGACGTTATGTTATTTAACAAAGGTTGTAAACTTGAAATGAATCACATTTGGGACCTTTGCATGTGCACCTCGCTACTTTAGCCTTTATATTATTTCTTATTATTATTATTATCACTTCGAATAAAATATTTGGAGACACTAATAATTTTATAATCTTTATCATGTACGTATTGCTTGGCAGTTGGGAGAATTGGTTCTTATTTAGATGGGAAGATTGAAAGCAATGAAAACAGTTGCCCGAAATTTGGAAAACAGATTATGACACTTCACTTTTGTCTACACGGTTTGTTTCCGTATATAATGTTTTAGTGGGCAAACTAGAGAGCAAATTTGGTAAAAAGATTAAGACGTTTTTCATTTGTATTAATGATTTTGGAGATATGAGACACCTAAAACGCGAAAAATTACAGTAACATATGATCAAGTTAAATACCGATTTAATTTGACAATGATTTTTAATTTGTATATCATATGTAGTACCTATCCTTTGATATTGTGTAAACGAAGTCTGTATACCAGTTTTAGAACTATATAACACTTGCAACGTAACTATATAGTACAACATAATATGATCAAATTAAATACTGCTCGAGTTCAGAGTGAAATCAGAAAATTAATTAGTTTCAGATCAATATATGTGCGACTAATTACTCAGTAGCTAGAATCTTTCTCTATTAAGACGTGTTTACTTCAACTGGTTTCAATATTAAAACAGCTCAAAACATTGAGGGGCCGAGAGTGCTACATAAGGCGACGGTCTCCATCTTGGAAGGGAAGGCGAGCCCGACCACGTACTGGGCACGAGTGCACGACGACGCTCAGGGACCGAGCGTGCTGCATAAGGTGGCGGTTGCCATGTAAGAACTAAGAAGGGAATGGACGAGCCCTGCCGCGAACTGGAAACAACGGCACCGAGGGGCCGAGCGTGCTGCATGAAGCAGCGGTCACCATCCTGGAATGGATTCTGCGAGCCCGTCGTGAACTAGAGGCGGTGCGAGTGAGAGCCCTAATTCCCACAGACGACGCAAATGTTGAAACTAATCCAACACGAAATAATAAATATAATATAAAAGTGTATGAATGCTCTGTTTTACGTGGAAACCCGAAAGCGAGAAATCACGAGACTTTTTATACAAATGTCCAAGTCACTCTCATTTTATTAATACTCTCCTCATCATTAATGAAGTATTCAAGCTCCTAAGCAAAGTAGAGGAGAGAAGAAGGTAGAGGCAAAAAAGGACCCCTAATGTTGTGGAAAAACCTCATATTTACAGGGAAAGTGGGGAGGGGCCTAAATGCCTAATGACCCCTAATGTTGTGCAAAGCCACACTAATGGGCCGAAGCGAGCAAAATGGGCCGAAGCGGGCAAAATGGGCCGGATGGGTCAGAAAGGGCCTGATGGGACTCACTGACCAAGCTTCATACTAAGGGTAATGTATTGAGCTCTTGAAAAATAGTAGGCCGACATAATATATCCCAACAAATATTGTTTTTTTTTCATTCTTTCATAATATTTTTATTTTATTAATAAAATGTACTCACTCTATTCCATAAAACTTGTTCATATTGACTTTTCTTGTTCAATGATATTCAAGTTTGACTCATCATTGGTTAGTACGCAATTTTAGATTTAAAAAATGAAAATTAATATAGAACCATTCTTTGTTAAAAGTACCTTCACAGAAGTATAAAACTAGTTTACAAGTTTTTAATAAAAATAATAACAAAAATCATTGTCCAAAATTTATATCATTGATTGAAAATCATATTGGCAAATTTTGTGAGACGGATGGAGTATTATAAACACTTCGTATAATTTTTCCATAATTCAGCATATTCATTTAATTCAGCGGTTTCAATCATAATATTGTCAACTTAAGTTGGTTCAACCAAATATCAAACAGGGCTCTCAATGTTTTTTTTTTATCACCGAACTAAAAGCTTATATTAATAAATCATTCGCCAACTGGCTTTCAATACAAGTAGGACTAGAATAAAAAATTACTGAATGATCTGAGAGATTAACGCGTGACCGTGCCAAAGCATGTGCCACCGTATTCGCTGATCGTTTACAAAAAGAGACACTCCAGTTGCTCTTTGTTGCCAGAATACTTCGAATATCATCAAGAATAAGGTCTATATAAGAATTCCCAATGGATGTTTTATTAATATTGTCCACCACTCGTAACGAATCCGACTCAAATTCCACCCGCAGCCAGCCTGCTGCAGCCGCTACCTCAACAGCCTTCCTCAGTCCCCTAGCTTCAGTTTCCTCCACGGACCAATCTTTTTCCGCCGATCCTCCTCCAGCCCGAATAAACTGCCCATTCTCATCACGTGCTATCCATCCCCAAGCTCGGATTCCGCTGGTCTGGTTAACAGCCCTGTCAACGTTGATTTTAACCCAGCCCGAAAAGGGTTTCCTCCACCTACTCGCCGTAGCTTGCTGTCGCGGAACCACGCTCAACCTCCCCGTTTCTGTGTTTGCACGCTGCCACGTATCGAGCATACTATTAGCAGTTCGCACGGTCTCCTCTGCACCCATCACCGTGTCGTTCCAAACTGCTTCATTCCGTCTCTTCCAGATACTCCATAATACAGCTAGAAATTTGGCTCCACATTCCGTCTCAATGTTGATCATCATCATATATAATTATTAGTATTATTACAATTACAATCATAATTATTTATATTGGATACTGGAGAGTACTTTCGACTATATCAATGAAATTAGTCTTAAAATTTGTTTCTAGTTGTTTCAATTTCAAGTTAATAAAGAAAAGACCAAACGAGACCCGCATCCATCACCATATACCGCATATATATATATATATATATATATATATATATATATATATATATATATATATATATATATATATATATCAAACTCGCCAATCGACTTAAGCTAGAAAAGTGGAGTTTAGTTCAAAGTAATTAATGAAGGTGTGTTTCCAACCTGATCAAATCAAACTAGTTATGAACATGTAAGATCATATCAAACTTACATAATACGGAGTAATAAAACACCAAACTTTTATTAAACCACTCTGATGAACTCAGATCAAATTAATCTTTCCCAATTAAATTTAAATAAAAAAGATTATATTAAACTTAAATAGACCAAATTAGGACAATTCAGAAGATTTATGTCCCTAAGAAGCTGTTCTCTTCGCCTGATCTGAATGTTTCTGATCTGAATTTTTTAAGTTCTGATCTGATCTGATCTGAATTTTTCTGATCTGATCTGATCTGATCTGATCTGAATCTTCCTGATCTGATCTGATCTGATCTGAATCTTTCTGATCTGATCTGATCTGATCTGAATCTTTCTGATCTGATCTGAATGTTTCTGATCTAGTCTGGTCTGATCTGAATGTTTCTGATCTGATCTGAATCCTTCTGATCTGATCTGAATGTTTCTGATCTGATCTGATTCGAATATTTGTATGATTATAATTATAATTATAATTATAATTATAATTATTATAATTGCAATTAAAAATATAATTTAAATAAAATTATAATTATAATTGTAATTATAATTACAATATTTATCTCTATAATTGTAACTATAGTTATCAATATTATTATAATTACTCCGTAAAATAATTACAATAGTAATAATAATAATAATATTAATTATAATAAAAATAATAATTATAATCATAAATTATAATTATAATATAATTATAATTATAATTATAATTATAATTATTATAATTATAATTAATAATAATTATAATAATATTAACATTAATTATAATATTATAATATAATAATAGTAATATAAATACAATTAATATTATTATAACGATATTATTATATTAATATTATTATTACAATAATATAATAATAATATGATTATTATTATAATTAGTATTATATAATTATAATATTATATTATAATTATAATCATAATCATAATTATAATTATGATTGTAATTATAATTATAATTATTATAATTATAATTAATTACAATTATAAATATAATTAATTATAGATATAATTATAATAATTACAATTGATTATACTTATAATTATAAGAATTATAATTATAATTATAATTATAATTATAATTACATATAATTATAATATAATATTATAATAATATTAATCATATTATTATTATTATGTTGTAATAATAATAGTCTTCTTAACAATTGCATTTATATTACTATTATTATAGTAAAATATTATAACTATTATTAATATCTTTTTTTATCATATTATTATTAATATTTTTAATAATAATTATATAATAATAATCATAATAGTAATAACAATATTAATAATAATAATTAATATTTAATATAATAATAAAAGTGATAAATCATGTTTGGACTTTTCTGATCTGATCTGATCTGAATGTTTCTGATCTGATCTGAATGTTTCTGATCTGGTCTGATCTGATCTGAATCTTTCTGATCTGATCTGAATCTTTCTGGTCTGATCTGATCTGATCTGAATCTTTCTGATCTGATCTGATCTGGTCTGAATTTTTCTGATCTGATCTGATCTGATCTGAATTTTTCTGATCTGATCTGATCTGATCTGAATAAAATATGAATAAGCAATAAGTAATAAGAATAAGACGAACAGAACAGCACCTAAGTCCTTAGTAGCTACTATTTATTATTTATTTAATTACTCAAAATTATTTGTCATCATCAACCCCTTGAATGAATTGAGTTCCTTTTAGTTTCTCCAACGGGTTACCATCATTATCAGTAATTTATAAAACGAAATTTGAACAGATCGAATTTGCACTGATCAGCGCATGACATTTTTGAAGAGAAACAAGGGAGTGCCACAAGGGTTAGGTCTCGGGTTCGAATCCCGACAACTGTGATAAGAGGTTACTATGTTGAAAAATGCATAGGGCCTCTGCAAGTACCGGGGACGGAGCCCCACTCTCTATCTGTCAGGTTGTGATTATAGTCCAACTTACATCCTCCCATCGTGATGTCCGGTCGGTATTGGGGGGCCCTCAAGGATGGGGTGTCATCCTTTTTATAAAACGAAATTTGAACGGATCTAATTTGCACTGATCAGCGCATGACATTTTTGAAGAGAAACGCCATGAAAGTGTCCCACACGCATGAATACATACATGATGAGCAGGTGACTAAATTTAATACAGTAATCATATCATTATTGTTTTATTTCCTTTGCGGTTGACAAAGATGGGAAGAATGAACTAAATATATTCCTCAATTGTCCAAATTGCTGTAAATGTGGTATTTGAATGGTAAAATATACAATGTGACCCTTTTTTCAAAGGGTGCAATTTGGGAACAAGGGTCTGACATTTAAATATGGTGACTATTTCAGGAACTAAAAATGCGATTTTGTCTTTGACTTATTAAAAAAGTTTGCTATTTGTACACACTTTTATACATATGTGAGAATATGCTTTTTTTTTGTCTGTGGACCTCACTCACAAACAAACAAGACTTGTTCGTCTTTGAACGAGGTTCACATATAAAAAAAAGTCTTATCACAGACAATGAGTATAAAAGTGTGTACAAACAAAAAATTTCTTGTTAAATCATCATTTCATGTAAATATATTTTTAAGGTAATCGGAAGATATTTCAATCCAATAGTTTTGTTAGGAAATATTCTTCTAAACCTATTATAGTATTTGCTCATGTTAATGTCAACATCCTTAATTGGGATGATACTCGAACCTGCGATCACCTTTTTGGGAGATCAGCAATGATGTCATCAAACCACAAGGTACTTGACTTCAATCCAATAGTTAGCCACAACTTCTTCATCAATTATTATTAATTACTTCATATTAATATTATACTTAATATTAACTTATACTTATACTTATTAGCTAATATCTAAAAGTAATAGTTCAAAACTAGTAGTTCATTTTGAATAATTAACTTTTTCAAAGTTCAAACAACAATGCTTCAATGATTAGTTGTTTACTTTAAAATTGCAAAGAAATCCCCAAGAAATGCTCTAAAAATCTTATTTTGATTAATTACTTATTTTAATTAAATTAGCAACAGTTGATCATAAAATTCAATTTTTTTGTTACTACTCCGAACCCTTATTAAGAGATGTAAGAGGATAATAATTTGAGATAAGTTACATCAATTCGTCTTTTTCATGACTTTGAATCCAAAACCTCTCATAAGTAAGGTAGTCTTGGACTCGGGTCGGGCCGACCCGCCCGGCCTGGCCCGGTGAACCGGGTATGGTTCCGGGCCTAGGCCCGGTCCCGGGGGTTAGGGTGGGGCGGTCCCGGTTCAGCCCACTCTTTGGAACCGGCCCGGCCGGTCCCGGGCCTGGTTCGGGCCTTCTTTTTTTTTTTGGTTTTTACTTGAGTTGGGCTAGGTGTTTTGGGGGGGGGGGGGGGTTGACGGGGGGGGGGGGGGGGGGGGGTAGGGGGGTTAATTAGAAAAGAAAAAAAGTAACATGGACCCGGCCCGACCCGGACCTAGTGGTAACCCGGGCCGGTCCCGCGCCTTCACCCCAAACATCAAAAGCCCGGCCGGGCCTAGGCCCTACCCGAGTCCAACACTATAAGTAAGGTATTTAAATGTGAGAAAGTCGCCCATTTGAACGCTCCGACTTCTTTAATATTTTCATTAATCATGAATGGATATATATAGACGAATACACAAGTAGAGTTATACAAGGGGTTCGAGAAAGAATTAATTATTAATTGCTAGCACTAATTAGTCTGGCGATGACTAATCCGCATAGCCCATCTAGGCGGGTGCCTACTACATAATCTTTACTTTTATGTATTATTTTTATTTCCAATGAATGGATGAAATGATGTGATCAAGAACGTGAGGATTTGATGGGGTAATTTGACTTTACGTACATCTCACTTTTTGGGTGATATTAGACTTTGCAACTATTTTTAAAAAAACTTTGATTTTGCACCCTGACAGTCTGACACATTTCAATTTGGGGTGAACCATGACCTTGGCTAGCCCCCTCTATCTGCGCTCATGAACACATACATACATAGATATGCATATGTACCTATGTATTTAGGTGTGTTTTACATGCATATTGCCTGCGAGTCTGCGCCAAGTAGAACGAAGCTCAAGATGCGCTTGATTGTTCAGTGAGCTGGTTCGAGACTTCGAGCTCCCTTCAAGTTTGAATTTGATCAAAATATCAAATGGCTTACTAGCATCTCGCGAACGGCTTGGTTCCAACAATACATTGAACTTGGGATATGAAGTGTGAAAACGTTGAGTTTCAATGTACTACGTATAAAGTTAAGTTGAATGTAAGCATATTAAGAATTATAACTCATCTTTTAAGGCTTTCAATTGCCCGCTTTTCAGCTTTCTAGTTTTTAGCTAAAAAATAATTACTTGTATGTTGCTTTCATAAATAACGTGAACAATATAAGAATGATCTTTTAATTCATTATACAACACATATTACTTGGTAAAACAGTATAACAAATATCTGAGAGCAGACATATATCCCAAAAGCTTACTTGAAGAAAATATTATAGGTACAAGATTTTCAATGTCTCATGTACCTATACTATGAGCAAAAGTGCTATGATAGTATGATTTGTTGTAAAATAAGATTGCTCATGTGTGTGTATTGTAAGGCTATTTGTGAGTCTTGACTATTGCTAACTTGCTAAGTCTATTAGGACTTATAGCATGATCCTAAAGATAAAAGTTCAGAACAATACACCACATTTTGAAATCTCCCATACGCAGGACCTTGTGAATACCCTGCTTGCCCCTCTAAGACAAACAACTACCCTGCTTCTCAACAACGCACCATACCATATTCCGGTCCGGGACATTCCATCTTCGGCCCTCCTTAGGTCCGTCTAATTGCACTTTACATTATCTCCCTGAAAACCGGTCGATCTGTGAGGGATATGAAAAGTTAGTTGAAAGAAAGACTCAGATAAATTAGATAGAAATTATTGTGTACTAAAAAGTTTAGTTTTTTATATACCATTTGAACTTTTTGTTAGAATTTAGCTTTCGTATTTTATAGTCTATATGGTATTAAAAACTGCTCTAACTATCAGAATTACGAAATTTCAAATAAAGGCATGTTAAACATTCTTACTCAGACAAAATATAACTAATATATTTTTGAATGACTTTACAAATAAGACTTGGAAATAAGATACTTATAAATGAATGTTGAAATGCATACTGTCATAAAAGACATTTTAATCAAATATCTATTTTATTCCATAAACTACATCCTTTTTAACCACATATATTTGTTTCTATTGAAAATTTAAATGTGATATTTCCATAATCTATGGAATTACAATGATTTCAAGTGTATTGTCTTCCACTCCCAATGTTTCCAAATAAAATAGGTAGCACTTCAGCACTTGGGATGGAACAATGGATATTTAGGGATGGAAGAAGTAAACTATTGGAATGCATATTCCATAAAAAGTTATAATGGCAAACAAACTGTGCAATATAAATTAAATAAACTTTAAATCATAAAAAACTATATTATATTTTAAAATTTAAATAAAGCGGGCACAGAATAATCACAAAAGCACAAGTGTTGTGAAACTAATAAGCTGTGATCAGTTGGCTGTTGGCTATTTCATTATCTTTTACTCTCCCTCCCACTAAAATTATCTCACCTTTACTTTTTGGTCCACCACTTTCAGATTGTTACATACCAAATTTAATGTGGTTTTAAATCGGTCTTACTTAATTCTTACATTATCAATTCAATATGAACCATATTAATAGCCTAATATATTTAGGAATCTGCCTAACATCTATTTAGGAATACTTTGTATTTTGACAACTCTTCTATTATAAATATATCTGCCAGAACTCCTATTGGAGTATCCTTTCCCATTATTTCACACATATAAGTTCATTTTTCTTAATAAGTGCACAACTTCTTCATGTACCAAACTTAGGAGGACCAAAAGTATATCTTTATTAACAACGTTTCATTGACATAAAAACAGGTAAATATCCGGTTTGCGTCTCTTGATGGACCCATCTAGCATGAATATAGATATTAGAAGCAAAACGTCTAAAAGAAACTTGAGAGCCAATCCATCATATTGATACAAATGCAGACATGCAGAGTAACACTTACAAAGCTCTATTTCGCCTTTGTGTGTCCATTGGCTATCCTTCTACCAAGAAGTCCTGAATATTCATCTCTTGCACCTGTGGTTTCCTCATCTACAAATTGGCGCTCTCTCGTCCAATATTGTCGGTAGTATCCAAATGCCACAAACAACATGAACACTGCATAGCAAAAATACTTGGATGAGGTAACATTTTTTACATTTCTGAGTAATAAAAGGTGCTATTTTTTGTCCACCCGTCATTTGTGCAATTTTAGCAAATTTAGTCCCTCTTTGTTGACTTTTAAAAAACTCAACCCTACTGTTAGTCTGAAATATTCTGCTTTTAAGTCTATTCTGGTCTAGACTAATCTTGGTAAGTCTGGTTGGTAGTGGTATGGTCCTGATATTATGTGTACTTCATTATTATCCAAGCATGGTCGAGTCTGATTTGGTCTATTCTTGTTTATTTAAGTCTAGTTTGGTTTGATTTGAAATTGAATCTGAAATCTCCAAGTGAACAGTTCCTAATAATTGGTGAACTCTCTAGAGGAAAAAGTTAACAAGGAACTGAAAATGCTACAATTGTACACTTGAGGGAGTAAAAAAGCAATTCACCCATTTTCATGTAATTAGTTTCGGGAGTTCGTAGTTGAATAGATGGTTTTACCTGCCCAGATTTGAACAATGACAGAAGAAAAAATCCATACCACCATGAAAATGCAGATTGCTATTGCTTTGTTATGAGCACATGAATCCCAGTAGCCTCTGAAGCGCCTAACCCACAAAGTACCTATATATCAAATCGTGTTTTATGTCAATAATTTGTTAAATAGCTTTAAACAATTATTCATTTTCTTTAATGTTTCCTTCCTCAAGCAAAAGAAGCCAATAAGGGTCCCTCTTTCTTGTTTTAAAAAACTAAGCTTTGGAGTTTGGACACCAAGGATTATCAAGCACTTAATACACAAATAATACAATCCCTCCCTTCATTGAAACAGTCACATCAATTAGAGGTTACTATGTAAAATGCATATAGGGCCCCTGTAAATACTTGAACCAGAGTCTCACTCGCTACCTAGAGCCTCACTCGCTACGCCGCTACCTGTATCAATCAATATGTGATTAAAGTCCAATTTACATCCTCTCAGTTAACTGTCCGACCGGTGCTGAGAGAGCCTCAGGGATGAGGTGTTATTTTTTTAAACAGTGGCGTTTCAATTCTTTATATAAAAAAAGGTACTATCGAAAAGGTTAACTTTCATTATATATTTTGTACTTTTCCAAAAAAGAAGCGAGATTTACCCAAATAGGACCAAAATAATGTCATTTTCCCTAAATAGGACCTAATATTTAAACGTAATAAATAAGATTTTTTATTTGTGATTAGACAAAAATGCCCTCATGGGTTGGGCATTGATGCCCCGGACTGCCGCTGGACCGCCGGCCCCATCGGAAAATTTCCACTAGTCGCCGCCGCCACGTTCGCTGCCGCCTCAACGGACTGACTTTGGTTATGCAAGGGAACTAAGGGCATTTATTATATTAGGAAATAGAAATGTACTACGTAATGTTTAGTCCTACTTAAAGAAAACAAAGCAGATGATCCTATTTTTGGAATATAGCTATATTTTAGCCCTACCCTGAGCAATTTCCTCAAAAAAGAAGTATTCAAATTTCAAAACAGTTTTTTTTTAAAACAAAATTCAAAACAAGTTGAATGTGTTAAATTTAGCTGAACAAACGCACACATTTAAATTATCAGTGGGACTTGTAATTTGCAAGATACATACCTTATCAAAATTGAGAAGGTGTACTTTTTGAGATTCTTTTTTGGAATGGTTGGAGAATAATATAAAATAAAAAAGAGGTGGTGAGAATAGGTCCACCAATAATACACGTTTGAATCTTGTTTTTTATGGTGTTTGTCTTGTTGAAAAATAATTGGTGTACTTTGTGATCTTTATTTTGTGATCTATGGGGGGCCTTTAGATATAATCATAATAATAATGACTGAAAAGTAAAACAATTTTTTGTGGGCCGAGTCATCTGAGTGATTTAAACAAAATGACAGGATCTAGCTAAGCAAAGTGAATCCAATCAAACCCTTAAACTATAGTATCAATTAATTATTTGACTAAAACTAGTTAGCACAATAAAATCATTAGTGACAAAGCTTTATACAGATTGCCTTCACGAGGGGCAACCTGCTAATACCATCATCATTTAGTTTCATTGGGTACAAAGCATATGGGCCCACCTTATCATTCATACTTGTAAATAAAGAGAGATCTAAGCAAAAACATATCTTTTCAAGCCTAAAGGCTAAAGCTTCCTTTAAAAAATTTACTTTTTTCACATAAGCTCAGGACAAGGACAAAGAAGCACAGCTGCAAAGGCCACCGACATTGTATCATCACACCATGTCATCATGTGAGGAATTTGTATGATAGCAGAAAAAAGATACGGAGTAATAAAGAAAGGAGTGTATCATTTTACCAAAGGCAGCTAACTGAGAGGAGTAGGAAGAGCAGAGCTTTGGGACCATGAAGACTCCAAAAAAGCCTAGACAAGCATGAGCTATTTGTGTCAGCAAAGCAAATGCTTCTCTTTGAGTTAAAAAATCCACAGAAATGCTGTTTTTACTGTAAATGTTTCACACATTCATATTCTCTTTCAGATTGCATGCATCTAAAGTCTAAACCAAAACAACAAAAGGTGGATTTTTTCACTTCCACTAAACATATAGAGAGCTCATTCGAGTCAGGCGGGCCGAACTGCAGATGGATTTTCCATCAGGGGCACTCCATTTTTGACCGATCAACAACTCAACGATCCCGATTTTTTCACTCATTAGCATTAACTATTAATTTCAACTATCAATTTGTGCGAAGATAAATACTTGAAGGTTACTTTCACCATCACACTTTATCTAATGGTCTAAAATAATTCAATTAAAATTGGCATTATATTCAAAATCATTTAACAATTAGCATTAATAGTTTTATGCTAATGACCATTGAATAATTTATGGACCGCTGAATATTTTTTTTTCAAAATCATTTTAAAAATATCTGGACCACTAAATAATTTTTGGGCCAAAAATGAAGTGCACGTCATGGAAATCCTTTCGGACGTGAATAATATTTTCTGTGCTACGTATATACAACCAAACTCGTTTTATTAATTATTTCTAATTTTTTATTATATAAAAACAGAAATCAAGATCTTTTGGGAATAAGGCTGGGATGTTGTTGTTGTATGAAAACAGAAATCAAAGCAAGTGTAAATTTTTAAAAATCACTAACCATAATGTTTCCCTTTCCCTAGTGTTTGTTTGGATCCTGAAAATGGCAGGGAAAGGGGGAAAATGCCAAGCTAATTTCCAATGTTTGGTTGCCTTGGAAAATGCAATAGAAAATTAAATATGATTAATATTTTTAACTTTTATATATATATATATATATATATATATATATTTATACTTCTTAGTATTCAAACAAAAGAAATAAATCTAAGAAAATAAATTTGTCTTACAAATACATTTATTGAGTTTGAACCAATGTGTTACTTTCCCTAAAATTTTCTTTGGTTCCAAATTTGTTTTATACTTTCATCCCTATATTCTTTTGGGAGCATCGAGTTCCAAATGGAGCCCAAGAGTTTAGGTAATACTATCCACTTCCCTTGTAGCCAAAAGCCTGTTATTACATGGCAAAATGAGCATACAGAGTTCTTGGATAAACCAAGAAATAGATATACACCATGTTATAAATTATCATAACATGGCATACATGATTCAGATATAATTAATGGTAAATAGCTAAATAACAAGTGACAAGCTCACCCAATTTAGCCATCCTCCAAATGGTTATGGAGCTGCCACATTGTGCCAAAACAAAAAGTGGCACTGCTATCTGCAAATAGTAAATGTATCAAAATGGTTTTAAATAGATTCAAGTATAAATTTGACTAAGGTAAAAGTTCCAAATATATGAAAAAAGAGAACACTTTTTACCTTCATTGTTGTGGCAGGGTCTCCAGAGAACAAGGCTTTGAAATTCAAGAGAAACTCATTTATGTAAGGAAGTAACATTTTTACTGCACACATTGCTTCATCCTCTCCAACAACACAATCACTTGTTTCACCTACTTGTATGTCTCCCCTTTTTATTTTTATTATTTTCAGAACATAAGATATAGAGAGAAAATAAATATTAAAGGTAAATTTGTATCCAGGAAAATGCTAGACAAATGAAAAAACAGTTGAAAGCTACTTGCTTGTGTTCGGTTTTAATTACCATGAAGAATGCGAATGAAAATGGAGACGTGAGCATATTATTAATGTTTTGGATTAGTTTCCAATTTTACATATGTATAGATTTCTCAGTCTTCATATATACGGAGTAATAGAAAACGATAAATATTACTGGTACTACGTATAAAACTATAAACTACGAGCTTAGTAAAGATTGGGGTATGGGGTGTTCTATTAATTTACCTGTGAATAAGGGACCTGAATGTGAAAATAACAGCAAGATATACCAGACCCATGTATGAAAGCGCAGAAATCATGCTGTGAGAGCCCAACGAGATAAAGTTAGTTCTTCAGCCTTGAAATAGTTATGGAATTAGAACTGTTATCCTCTTTTCCCTCTTCAATCCATGAAAAAGTCTTTCATTTTTATATACGGAACGTGGGATTCAAACCTGGTATTGAAGTCTTTAAAATATGTAGAGAAAATAATCACAAATGTTCCAATACCAAACACAAGGGCTGATCTTGATATATCTCTCCACATCACCAGATCAACTGAGATATCATTCATAAAGCAATATTTAAAAAAAGACCTAAGCATGAAATTTTGTACACAATAATAACTTTTTGAACTAATGAAATCAAATCAATCCGCCAAGTAAATGACAGCTTGTCAACTTACCATAGCTATGCAGTCTGCAGTGAGGTCTAGGAGTAGTTCTGTGTGATTCCTCTGAAACTGGAACATGAATTAAGCAACATATAATAATTTATATCTCAAATTTGGCCATTTGAGGATAAAATAGATGAAATTCTGATAATATAATGATTCACATTATTAAAAAGAATCATCATCCAAATAAAAAATGTGATAACCTGGTTTGGTACTTGATGAAATGGGCACAAGTCTTTCATTTCTAATATGAGGCTTCTCCACTACTGTCACATTTACTTTATTCTCAAGACTAACCTCAACGTTTTCTTGGGCTTCTTCCCATGGGTCTTCATCAAAACCATCCTCTTCCACTTTAGGGGTAGATTTGACCATTTCTAGGGTACCAATGCTTGCGATGACTTTTTCTTGTACGTCACAGTTTTCTTCCGATCTTGTTATCCTATTCCCAGTTTTTCTATTCTCATTATTATCCCCCAAACAACTTTTAAGATTTTTTCTTGACTCATCAAAAGCGACCTTATTTGCCTCAAACCCTTGAATAGCCTCATAACTCTTCCCATTCTCATCAAAATCCTTTCTTGATTCAGAAGTCTTCTGCTTTGCTCCATTGTCCACCAATAGCTTCAATTTTCTTGGTTTAATCTTCTCCGCTGGGCTTCTCTGGATTGGGCTTTTTACACTCAATTCATTGAACCTCTCCTCATCCAAACTCTGGGTCGAATGAGATCTTGTTCTTCTTGCAATTTGAATTGGGCTTAGCTCAAAGCTTTCAGATTTCCAAGTTTTCCTTCTCCCAAGACTGGGTTTTGGGCCCACTTTATCATCTTCTTCATGAACAAAGGTGGAATCTTGGTCATCTTGTTCTTGTGGGTTTTCAGATTCTTCATCTTCTTCTTCAGTTTGGGAAGTGTTGATAAGAGCTTTGATCCCACCTTTGACTTCATCATGTCTAATCCTGCTCTCCCAAACAGACCCTCCCACCACATTTCTTCTTCTCCCCACATCCATTTGTATTTTGTACTTTTCTTATATATGTAATGTGATGATGGTGGGGAACTGGGGATGATGATGGGTCAATGTTTAGTTACTGATTGAGCCATTGAGGATTTCATGAGCTCAGGAGATGGAGGGGCGAATGATTACCCTTGAAGATGTGAAAGGCAGACATTAATTAGTCACTTTTTCCTTTCTGCGTCTACTAATTTAAACTTTATTTACCAGGGATTCTGGATCACCGACTTGATTTATACTCCGTGTTTTTTTGTACTCTTGCAATGCAATAGGGGGTGGGTTCATTCAAATGGTTCTGTGTTTACCCAAAATCAAATGTCTGATTAAAGTAAACAATTCGATTCAGTTTGGTTCGGTTTTATGAACACCGGTTCAGTTCGGTTTATTTCGCTTCGGTTTCAGTTTTTTTCGATTTTTATCAAAATATTTTTGTTGAATAGAAAAATGGGAAATGGAACGAATATACCCCTATACTATAGCTGTGAGTACATATATACCCTTGTTCTATTATTTGGAACAAAAAACTTCAAAAATTAAATATTTGGTCTAAATCTATCCTTCCCTAACGGTTCATTTAAACTATTAAGATATGCCGTCAATTCACAAAAGGCTCAAGCTTATTGAATCTAGACTCTTGTGCCTCTTCATAGAAATAGCAGAGAAACAAAGCTACGAACAAAAACGAAAGAAGTGAAGAGCTAACTCGAACTCTTCGTTTAGGCATTAAATCATAGGTGAGTATTAGGTGTTTTAGGTTAAATATGTGGATCAAATATATTATCATTTTAGCATGCGAGATAAAGAGGAAAATGAAAAACTTCATTACTCTGCTTCAAGCAGTCTAAACGTACATATAGTGATTACAAGTAACTACCAGAACTAACTAACAACTTGGCTTAACTTCCAAGCTAACATATTAGGTAATTTGTTATATACAAAAATGTAAAAAAATTGATCAAATAATGATCGTATATTCTAATAGCCTCCCTCAAGGTGGATCTGATAAGGAATGAAGATGCAGCTTGGAAATATTGTTATGAAACATGGTTGGTAGTAAGGCCTTGGTAAAACAGCCTGCTAATTGACAAGAGGTTGGAACAAAGAACAACTTTATCAGTCCTTGTTGTAGTTTGATTCGAACAAAGTGACAATCCACTTCTATGTGCTTTGTTCGTTCATGAAATGTAGGATTCTTAGCAATTTGAATGGTTGATTGGCTATCACTGTATACATGAAAAGGTAGATAGGAAGAAGCATGTAAGTCAGTTAAAAGAAATTGAATCCATTGTAGCTCACAAGTCAAGGATGACAAAGCTCTATATTCTGCTTCAGAAGAGGATCTTGAGACAGTTGTTTGTTTCTTTGATTTCCAGGATATTAAGGAATTTCCTAAGAAAACACAGAATCCTGTGACAGATCTCCTAGTGTCAGGACATGCTGCCCAGTCAGAATCAGAAAAAGCTTGTATCTGCAAATTGTTGGAGGCTGAAAAGAATAAGCCAAGAGAAGGAGAATTCTTGAGATATTTAAGAATCCTGAGAGCAGCCTGTAGATGGGGTTCTCTTGGTGAAGAAACAAACTGACTGAGTTGTTGTACAACAAAGGTGATGTCAGGTCTTGTGTTGGTAAGATAGATAAGTCGACCTATTAACCTTCTGAAGGCAGTAGGATTAGTCATATGATCTTCTTTATCAGCTGAAAGCTTGAGGGCAGGATCTATGGGAGTGGAAGCTGGTTTACATCCTGAAAGTCCAAACTCATCAATCAGTTCAAGGCAATACTTTCTTTGATTCAGAAGTATACCTTTCTTAGACCTGGCAATCTCAAGGCCAAGAAAGTATTTCAAATTGCCCAAGTCTTTAATGTGAAACTGTTGATGAAGATATGCTTTCACTCTTTTCAATTCAGCATAGTCATTGCCTGTGAGGATAACATCATCAACATATACTAGCAGTGCAGTTATGGTGTTGGTAGTGTGTTTTACAAACAAGGAATAGTCTGCTAGACTTTGAGTGTAACCAAGATATTGAAGGGCAGAAATTAGCTTTTGATTCCACTGTCTACTTGCTTGCTTGAGTCCATAAATGGACTTATGGAGTTTGCAGACTAAATTCTTCTGTGGAAGAGAGAGACCAGGTGGAGGTTTCATATAAACTTCCTCTTCTAAATGCCCATGTAAGAAGGCATTATCAATGTCTAACTGTTCAATGTATCAATTGTTTGTGCATGCTAGTGATAGTAACAGTCTCATGGTGGTAAGTTTTGCTACAGGAGAGTATGTTTCAAAAAAATCAACCCCTTCTGTTTGAGTAAAGCCTTTAACAACTAAACGAGCTTTGTATCTCTCAAGAGATCCATCTGATTTTAACTTAACTTTATAGACCCATTTGCAACCTACTGCTTTCTTTCCTGGAGGTAACTTAACCAAGGACCAAGTTTGATTGTTTTCAAGAGCATTAATTTCAGTGATCATTGCTTTTCTCCAACATTCATGTTCATTAGCTTCTTTGAAAGAAGATGGTTCAGGATAGAATGAAAGAGAATTACAGTAAGAAATATGTTGAGAAGAGCAATTAGAAATATCAAGGTGGGGCTGTAATGAGTAAGGTGTTGAGGAAGAAGCATTGCCACAGTAGTAAGCATCAAGGTATCCTGGAGCTTTCTTTGTTCTTTTGCTTGAGTCATTGACTTGAGTATTGATATCATGATCAGGATTTGGATTAGGAATGTCTTTAGAAGATAAAGTGTAAAGAAGGTCAGTGATGTCAGAATCAAGATGATCAGAAGATTGAGGAAGATTTTGAAAAGGGAACTGTGTTTCATATAGGATAACATTCCTAGATATGAATGTGTTACAGGAGTGCAGATTATAGAGAATGTATCCCTTTGTGTTTTCTTGAAAACCTAGAAACATACATTTGTGAGCTCTGCTATCTAACTTTGATCTATTGGCTGTTAAAGTTGAAGCAAAAGCAAGGCATCCAAAGACTTTTAATTGTGTTAGATCTGGTTTGGAAAGAAAGACCAATTCAAAAGGAGATTTTTGATCTAGGACTGGAGAAGGAACTCGATTTATGATATGAATGGCATGCTTGACAGCAAAAGACCAAAGAGATTTTGGGATTTTAGCTTGAAATAAAAGGGCTCTAGTGACATTGAGAATGTGTTGATGTTTTCTTTCCACAACAGAATTTTGTTGAGGACATTCAACACATGAAGTTTCATGAATAATGCCTTTGTTATCATAGAAATCTGGTAGGAGAAATTCCTTACCATTGTCAGACCTAATTCTTTTGAGTTTAGTGTCAAACTGGTTTTCAATCATTAGAATGAAGTTTTGTAATATTGGTCTGACTTCAGTTTTTGTTTTAAGAAGGTGTGTCCAAGTGAATCTGGTAAAATCATCTACTACAGTAAGGAAATATCTGTATCCTTCAAGAGATGGAACAGATAGAGGTCCCCAAATGTCAACATGAATAAGTTCAAAAAATCTGAGGGATTTAGTTGTGCTATTTGGATAAGGCAGTTTCTTTTGCCTAGAGAAATGACAAATATCACAACATTGAAAAGAAGCATAAGGAATATATGTGTATTGATTGGACAATTGTTTAAGAACAGTGTCAGAAATATGGCCTAACTTTAGATGCCATAACAAGGATGTGTCAACAGGACTAGCAACAGTATTATTTGGACTCACAGTATTGAAAACAACATTATTACATGACTCATCAGTCGAATGACTATCAAAAGAAAGCTGAAACAGGCCTTGATGCTTCTTAGCTATGCCAATCCTCTTCAATGTGGTTTTCTGCAAGATAAAACAGATTGAGTAATCAAAGACAACCAAATGATTAGCATCAGAAAGAAGTTTAGGAATGGATATTAGGTGAGCAGAGAAATTAGGCACAAAAAGGACTTGATGAAGTACTAATTGTCCTAAGTTGATGGTTCCTGAAAATTGTGATAGAACAAAAGAGCCATTGGGAAGTTTAATATGAACTGGGGGTATAGACTGTAAAGAAGAAAAAATGTGTTGTGATGGACATATGTGATCAGTGGCTCCACTATCTACTATCCAATTAATATAGGAAGGATATTTACCAGGAAGTTTATATGAAGAAGTAGAGGTGTGATGAATGGAAGGATGGGATGAATCCTGAAGTTGAGATTGTTGAAGGAGGGCTAGAACATTGTGATATTGTTCTTTAGACAATACAAATTGATCCTGGTTATGAGACTCCAGATTAGAAGCAGTAGAGTCAACAATTTGATCCATAGAAGCTTGGTTGGCAGATGAATTAGGGTTTGAAGAGGAGCTGCCAGTCTTGTAACCAGGTGGATAACCATGGATTTCAAAGCATGTGTCACGCGTGTGATTGTTCCTTCCACAATGATCACAATATTTGTTTCCTCTTCCTCTTCCAGAACTATATCCTCTTCCACCTCGATTAGGGTTAAAACCACCACGAGAATTGTTAGATCTTCCACGAGTCTGATTAAAACCTCCCCGAGATTTGAAGGAGTTGTCTGATGAGTGTGTAGATGTAGAATTGGAGTCGTTGAAGGCTGCTAAGGCTGTGGCTTTGAACACTTGAGAGTTTAATGAATTTGCCCCAAATTCACGCTCTTGTTGAAGGATTAGATTGAAAGTTTTTGTTATCGAAGGCATTGGTGATATGATCATAATTTGTGATCGTGTACGAGAAAATGCTTCATTCAAGCCACGAAGAAATTTTATAACACGATCATTTTCTCTTTCTTTAATGATCTTCTGAAGAACACCACAACCGCAAGGATTTGAGCACTTACAGATTAGAGGTGTGCGAAAACGTTCAAGTTCTTTCCAATGAGCTTGGAGTTTGGTGAAATAGTCAGTAACTGAGGCGGTGCTTTGATGTAGGTTTTGGATTTCCTCCTGTAGATCTGCTATGTGGAATACATCACCATGTGAGAAGCGGTCTTGTAAATCTTTCCAGATTTCATGTGCAGTGTCAAAATAAACAACTGATTCAGCGATTGATGAAGACATTGAACGCATAAGCCAAGCCATAACTATGCGATTGCAACGTCGCCATGGTTCGCGAAGTGGATCGCCTGATGCAGGAGAAGGAAGTGATCCGTCGATGAACATATCCTTGTTCTTTGATTCCAACATTGCTATCATACTGTGACGCCATGAATGATAATTTTTCTCTTTAAGTAGAGTTGGCACCAAAATTAAGGTCGGATTCTCACTAGGATGCAGATACAG